CTGCATTGTGATGTGCTAATATAAACAATGATCGGTGGGGGAGGGGAAGAAGGAAGGAGAGCCCCGGAGCGAGGCAAAGGCTCTAACTTGGCATCAAGCAGCTAGAGCCACACTGAGATTCTGCCAAGGAGATTTACTGCCCAAGGAAGCAGGAGATCTTTGTTGGATTCAGGACACTGTTTGTTTTCAAAACAATGGGGCCAACCAGCATTGTGTCTAGAGCCCCAGAGCACTGGTGTGGAATGTGCCTGTCTCTAAATTGGATTTCAGGTGATCTGTTACGGAAGTACTCTTGAAGCTAGAGTATGTCAGAGCCAGAAGGTTCCTTAGAGACCATCTGGTCCAAGCACCTCGCTTTGTGTTGGATAAACCGTGCAGGGGAACACGCATGCAGAATTATTTTCTCAGCGGGATAAATTTGAGTGATTCCAGCCACTTAAACTTTGTGGCCAGTGGTAGATGTGATTATGAGTGAATAGGTGGGAGTTCTAAGAGCCATCCAGGGCTAGGACACCCAGCGAAGCTCGTAAGAACGCACATGGAGATCAACCCCTTCTCCTCAATCCAGGGTAGAATGAATGGGGCTGACCCAAGCATGAAGCCAGCTGGAAGGGACATAAAGTCAAAGTGAGACACATGCTGAACAAAGGAGAGCTAGGTCGAATGCTTCTAGAAAGAAACACAAAGTGAAAAGGAAGAAAGATAAGGTCCTTCCTAAGTACAGGGCGGGACATAGAGACACAAGACAGTGACAAGTGCCCAGTGCATCTGTCTGCTTAGCTTTGAAACATGGCACATCTCTTAAAGGGGTAGGGCCACCCTACGAACTACATTTTGTTCTAGTGATTTCTACAGTGGTTTGGTATCCTTCGAACCTATGCCAGATGGCCCCCGACCCACTGAGTGGCGAGGGAAGCTGGTCTGAGATGGCAGCTTGCCACGTAGAATTCACCCAGTGAGGAGACAAGGAAGAGAAGAGTGGGCACTCTGAGGTAGACAGCCTCGAATTAAATGCAGGCTCCTGAGTGACCTTGGTCACCTTGGGTGAGTCATTTAGTGTGTGAAAACCTTAATGTCCTCATCTATAAAGTAGGTATACAACGTGCCTCCCAAGACTGCTGTGAACAGTGACCAGGGTGATGCGCGTCTGGTCGCTAGCATGGCGTCAGACACGTCAGTGATGAGTACGTGTCCCCCCAGTATTGGTATTGAAGGATTGAATGTGTTAGTGCTGACTGAGGTCAAGATGGGCACAGAGAAGTTGAAGAGAAGCCAAGGGCAAGAAGCCAATCAGCAAGGAGGATTATGGGAAGAAAGTACTGCAGAGGGAGGGACTTGAGGGCAGACTAGAAAAGTGAAAGTTATTCAGATCCTCAGCCCTGCTTGAGACCTCGATCAGAAAAAAGCCCCAACTCTCAAGTGAGGGGTTGAGGTCAGACTTATGGAAGAGATTTCCTGACAGTGGAAGGTATCAAATGTTACTAGACAGAGAGTTTTTCTTGTCTTCTGGGATTGTTTCATGAACCATTCCTGGAGCCAGAGCTGGATGAAATGCCACAGAGCCAACCCCACGAGCTCTTAATCCTGGGAATCAAAAGCAGCAAATGTGGGATCCAGTTGCCCCTAAAAGCTGTTTTTGCCAAAAGTTCTCAGCTACATCTGATGCATTGGGCTCTCTTCTGCTAACCCACAGCACTTAACAGAAGGGAGCAACTCAGGTTTTCAGCAATCTTGACCCTTCCTCTTGTAGGAATCGATGAAGACATCTTTTCATTGGCCCTTTAAAGCTAAGGTGGGTGAGGCAGTGTCATCTCTTGATGTCTCCCTGGTGACCAGATCCCCCTGAAAACCCATGCTCCCACTCCTGAGCCAGGGAGAACAGGAAAGGACAGACTGTCCTTAGGCTAGAGGTCAGAAGGGCCCTTGTGGGAAGATCTTCCTGAACCCACCAATGTGAGTTTTGGCATCTGGATTCTGAGTTTTATCTGATATTAACCCAGCCCTGAAGATCAGGGAGAATAAGAGAAGCTTTACCAAGCTCATCAGGCTGAATTTCCACCCCTAAGAGGGTAGGTGACATCCTGTGACCCTGGGAGACTGTCATCCTCCACCGTGTAGAGGCCTAGAGAGTAATCACCTTTGTCTTGGAGAGTCTTTCTGGGTCTCCTTCCCCAGGGAAAGAAACTAGCCACCTTCCCTTGGGAGCAGTGGCCCCGAAAGCCACCAGCTGGATTGTCCTCCAACAGTTTTCATGTAATTCCCTCCAGCTGCTGCTGACCACATTTTCCATAACCCCCACTTCGGGTCCAGCTTCTCATCCCGTAATGACACCACGTGTCACCCTGACTCCTCTTCAAGCTTTCCATGGCCTTAAGAATACACTTGAGAATACTCTGGGGCCTCTTAATTCCTAGCCCAGCTTCTTTCTCCAGCTTGGGCCTGAATTTATCTGATGGCCACCAAGGAGGGACGGAGTCTTACCAAGCAGAAGAGGTTCACCAGAGCGGCTCACCAAGACACTAAGTCTTTTCCCCTTCACCTCTTTTGCCCTTGGGTTTGGGTTTTCTTTGGTTTGATACTCCCAAAGCTGGCTGTCCGAAGGAGGGACAGATGGGCTAACCATCTCTAAGGAGGCAAGCTCGGAGAGCTCTCAGGACATGCTTTGGTGCCAAATGGTCCAGAATCCAAAACATAAGTGGCTTGTGACCTTGCCAAGTCTATGGATTTCCTTGAGCCTCAGTTCCCTCTGCTGAAAATGGTGGTGGTACCCCCACACACCTCCCCCCCAGATTGTTGTGAGGAGTAAGCGTGACTCTGACGCCTAGAGAGAGCTATTAGTGCAGGCTTGGCCCCTCGGGCTTATACCAAACGCTGGCCCTGATTAGTGCCTTTGACTTTTAGGATGTTCTTCCCTCTATTTTTGAACTTTGGCTTGTTTCCCAATAGCTTCTCTTCCTTTGGGATAATTCTATGGTTGCTAGCCCACACCCTACCAGTGCAGCATGGCTGTAACCTTTTCATAGTCATGGCTATAGCACGTCAAGGCCCCCACAGCGAGACTCGGCTCGTTTCTCTGCCTGCTCTGCTGGCTGAGTGTGCTCGTGCTATGGTGTGAATTAAATGTCCACGGGGTCGCAGGCTGGCTTCTGCCAAGTTTGTCCCTGTGTGGAAGGAGTATGCCAACCAAGCCGGGGCCCCCTCCACGTCGTCCCAGCTTCCCAGCAACGGACAGCCTCATCAGAGCCTCCTGCCCTGAAATAGCGTTCTCCTCACAGTTCCCTTGACCTTGTGTTATCTGGACTTTTTGAGGGAATTCCATGATAACGGGTGGGAGGAAGCTGCTGCTTTGGTATCCGGCTTCCTTGGTCCTGAGAGCTGGCTGCTACGAGGGTCATAGACGGTAACCAATTAACCTCATAATGGATTAACCTGGTCAGTAGCCACTGTTGTATATGTGTGTGCTGGTGGGACATGTGAGGACATCTGCACGAGTAATAACACGTGGGGTACACGGTTGCCTTCTTTTTTGTTCCCTTCTCCCTTTGCATTCATTCATCCCACCAACACCTACTGAACGCTTGCTCTATGTGCCATGCATTGTGCCAGCCGCCTCACTAACTGCACACGTCTCATCAATTCTTCCCCCGACAAAAGCATAAAGTAGACCCCAGCTCTTTGAAGTGCACTCTGCAATGGCTAGTGGAGAGAAGCTGAGTGCCTCTAAGACAGGAGCCTTGCGGATCCAGCCAGGCACCAGCCTGTCCAACGAGCTCCTGTAGGGGACATCAGTTTCCCTGCCACTCTGTCTTCATGGCCGGGACACCTTAACAGCCCCCAGCCGGGAAGATGGCTTTGTCCCCACTCCAGGCGTCTCTGATGGCTTCCAGCTCCTGGCAGCTCTGCCTGTCTTCCTCCTCTCGCTTCTCCAACTGAGCGTAAGACCCACTGCACCACTGGGTGGGCTCAGCTTCTAGAGTTAACTCTTCGTGTTTATAACCCTACACCTTTGGGCAGGGGTGTGTCCTCCAGCTTCCCCTTGCTTTGGGGTTCCTGGCTGGAAAACCTTTGTTCTCCTCCCTTCCGTCTTACCCATGTCCACTGAACTGTGCAAAAAGCTCCCCAGGAGAGGTGGGGTGCAGGTAAGGTGGGGTCCAGACTCGCATGTCCCCGTCCACAGCCAAACAGCCATCCTGGCCGTGTCGATCTCTGGGAGCCACCCGGCCTCCAAACCCCACGTGCACGTCACTGTCGGCGGACGTGGCTGTTCCAGCCTAGTTGAATTGTAGATCCCCTCCTCCATCTTGGCTGCCACTTTCCACTCCCCCTCCCCCAGTCTCTCACATCCAATTAACCCCCTCCCCCCCCCCCCTCCCAGAGTCATTAATGAAGAAGCAGAATGGTCTTGGCCCCAGAGTGATTTCCTGTCATCTCTGCTCATTCATTCTCTCCACGTCTCTGCTAAACCAGACTGTTCATCCGGGTCTCTGTGGGCTCATCCCAGCTCCTTGTCTCCAGGGTCCCAGAGAGCAGGTTGTCTGTCCTGTGGCCCCAGTATGTGCCTTCTCATTCATCCCCTGCTGCTAAGAAGGCCTCCCGGGGGGCCGCCACATTGGTCTCTGGGGTCCTAATGCAAGATGCTCGGGGGGTAGACGGCTCACTGCTCGGGCAACCCCCTCCTCCTTGCCCAGGAAGGCAGGGTTTACTGAACTGGGGAGGAAGCTGGACTCCTCTTGGCAGATCCTTTCAGAACTTGAGATGCTCACACACATGTGCCAGTGGGGCCGGGGAGCCCCGCGCTTCCTAACACACCTCTCTTAATGATGCAATGCCCTGGCCCTTGTGGGGGTGGGGTTCAGCTGGGAGGGTCTGGGGCTTGGTGCCTCTGAGGGTAACAGGGTAAGTAGGGGGCGTGATGACACTTCTTCCTAGCCTGACCGCTTGGGCCTCGTGGGTCTGCTCTGGGCAAGAGGCTCATGACAGCATCTTCTATCCTATTTCAGCGCGAGGAGTTGCAGAAAGGACACCCAGCTTCATGTACCCCCAGGGCACGGCGAGCAGTCAGATGGTGCTGCGTGGCATGGATCTCCTGCTGGAGTGCATCGCCTCCGGGGTGTACGTACAGCCCACACCCCCACTCTGGTCCCTCTCCAGGAGGACGGGGCACAGGAATTTGCGCAGGGGCTCTTCTTGCCGAGTCTGAGGGGGCGAAAAGAGGCCCAGACAGCCCCTAGCCAGGCTTTTGCAAAGCATCATCATTCCCATCCCTTTCTGGCTGTCTTCTTTATGGGTAATGGATGAGGAAAGGAGACGGGGTAATGTCCTGCACGTGTGTTCACACCTGTATGACTTCCCAGCAGTGCCTCGGTGCTCTGTGGCCAAGCACCCGCTCTGTACAGGAGAGGTCTGCTCTCAGGGGACCGACCATCCTCCTGAGTGCCTGTACACTTCAAGGATGCCTGGGTGTCCCGGGCTCGGTGGAAGAGCAGCAGGCCCACGGCTGGGGGTAACCCCTGTGTCCTGCTCGCTCCCTCTCCCAGCCCAACACCAGACATCGCATGGTACAAGAAGGGTGGGGACCTCCCCTCTGACAAGGCCAAGTTTGAGAACTTTAACAAGGCTCTGCGCATCACCAACGTCTCCGAGGAAGACTCCGGGGAGTATTTCTGCCTGGCCTCCAACAAGATGGGCAGCACCCGGCACACGATCTCGGTGAGAGTAAAGGGTACGTTGTGTGTATTTCTCATTATGATGATTTGCCAGCCCTATACGCCACAGCCCACCTTTCCCTCCGTGGGGAGGAGGGGGCGGGGGGAGTAGGAGAGACCTGATGACACACTGGCTAGTGGCAATAGTGATCTGCCAGGGACAGCGTCAACCCCCGGATGTGAGAGTGTGTGTGTGTACATAGTGGGTATATGTGGTGTGTGTGTGTGTGTGTGTGTGTGTGTACACAGTGGGTATGAGGGGAAGGAGCTGCACCCTGACCATCCCCCACCTCTCTGTGTTGCCTGGGGCTCCCCCCACAGGTGAATGTACCCCCATGGGCCATTTGGATTTCACATAGCCCCATTTCTTTCTTACATTTTGCATTCCCGTTCATGGTGTGTCGTCTTAGCCCTGTGCTGTCTGTGTACTTGTGCATGGTTTTTTTCTTAAAAATGGGGAGTTATCAGAACACAAATTATTTTTTAAAAAAATCACTTCCCTCCCTCCATGGTGCCGATGGCCCATCTGACCTGTGGTGGGCAATACAGCACGTGCCTTTATGGGTCCCTGCCGTGGGTGATGGGGTACACCAGTCCCTGTCAGCCTGGCACTGACCTGATGATGGGGACGATGAGGTCTGATACTGAGAGTGCAAGAACTTGGGACGCCCTCGCTCAGTTGACCTGATGACTTTGGTTTCAGCGCTATGCTTAGACCAGGGGTTCTTAACCTTTTGGGGGTTATCAAGATCTTTGAGAATTTGATCAATCCACAGGAACTTCTCAGGAAAAAAAATCCCCATCTCCACGTATTCCCAGTTGGAAGGGACAGCCAGCCTGCTCTAACCAAAGCCTGATGCCTGAGGTCTTTTCTAAATGGTCTGATGTCATAGCAATAGCCCCAGGATCCCAAGGGGCCAGTCCCGGGCTTGCTTTACTAACTGCCCCGCTGTCGCCCTCGGGTGCTCATCGTGAACACCTGTGGGGCTCTAAAAGCATCCACTGCCCCAGCCTCCCCTGAGAATTCAGACTTAGTAGGTCTAAGCTGGGCCCCAGTGCCCATGTTTGTTCAGAGCTCTTCAGAGGAGTCTAACGGGCGGCCCCAGTTTAGAACTATTGTCCTGTGAACCCGAAATAGAGTGGGAAGCATCCGCGGTGCCAAGCCCACCAAAGGCAGGCTGGACTGAGGATGCCTCGAGGATGAGCCCCCGGGCAGGTGGTGAGGGCCTGGAGCTGGCTCTTGGAGGCTCCTGCCTTCTCAACAGGAGCCGGTCGGTGTCTCCCGCCTGACCCCAGTCATCTAACGCCGCGGCCTGCGCTCCGCTTGTCTTCCAGCTGCTCCCTACTGGCTGGACGAACCCAAGAACCTTATCCTGGCTCCTGGCGAGGATGGGAGGCTGGTGTGTCGAGCCAATGGGAACCCCAAGCCCACTGTCCAGTGGATGATAAATGGGGAGCCTCTGCAGTGTAAGTAACAAGACGTTGTCCCACCTGACTCCGCTGGGCCTCCCGTCAGAGCCTCCAGGGCCCCATCCCTATGTGCCGGCCCTGGGTGCCCAGAAGGAAGTTAATGACTAGCCCCTTGGCCACTGCTTGGGGAGCATCCCAGCTCTCTGGGCATCTCAAGAGGCAGGAAACCTATGCTTATGTTCCCATATTTAGGGAGCATGCAACTCCCTTGGGTTTTTCTTGATCTTGTTTTCGGCCCTAAACCACCACCCAGCCCAGTTTCCAGGTCTGCAGAGAGCCAGCCTCTGAGTTGGGGAGGGGCATGGAAGGTAGAGCAGAGCTCAGTAAGCTGCTGTGTTTAGTTACCCAAGCCCCACTCTCTGCTGAGGGCAAACCGAGAGCCAGGCTGAATAGGAGGAAGAACTGCCCCCTGAGAGCAGAGAAGCACTGATGCATTTCCTGGGTGTGCCCAGATTTGGGGAAACTGAGTCCTGCCTGCTGGCTGGAGTAGGTGACTGCAGGGCCCCTTCCGGCCAGGGCTCTCAGTCAGGTTTTCCCATCATAGTCTCCCCGGTTGCATTTACTTTATAAAATGTCCTTGTGGGTCTCTGAGACTGCCGGACGCCTGCACCATCTACTGCTGGGGGCAGAGCTCCCTCCCAGCCCATGGCCTTGCCCTGCACAGGAGCAGAGACGCAGAGGTTGCCCGCCCTCTGCTGTTCTCCCTGTCCTGACATCACTCTGGGAACAAGGCAGACAAAGGCAGCAGACTCCACAGCGCCACAGAATAAATGCAGAGCCCAGGACTTGCCGCTGAGCCCTGGCCCTGGAAAGGTCACCTGTCACTTACAGGGAGCGGCTGAGAAGAAAGTTGGCTCCACGAGAATTGCCAGGGAAGGAGGTGTTGAAGTTGCTGGCGTGGACTTCATGCCTTTGTGCTGAGTGGGGACTTGGGGGCAGGTGATAAGGATGCTGACCTGTCTTTATTTGCCTCCTGCTGATTCCCCAGTTCCGGGCTCAGACTTGCTGTCTGTGGAGGGGCGCCTCGGGGGCCAGACCCTGGGTGGTCCTCTCCCCACTGTGGCTATCGGTCTGAGCTATCCTGGATTCATTCACAGACTGTCCAAACCAAGTCACCTTGGCTCAGTCCAGAAACCCTACAGAGGAAAGTCACCTTCCCATGAAAGATGAGAAAAGTGGCGATTCCTTACATTTCTAGAAAACTTAATTTATACCGCTCATTATCATTTTTTTAGTAAAGCTCCTCGGAGTGGGAGAAGGATGGGAGGAATTCTCCAAAACTTGACAGATGAGGGAAATGAGGCCCACATTTACTGATCTGCCCCAGTCCCAGATGGATGTGTGAACAGGACTGAGAGCCCGCGGCCACTCCCCAGCCTCTGCTCTCTGTATCCCAGGCCAGCCGTGCTGGAAAAGCTGCGGGAGGAAATAGCTTCTCTCAGTTTAGGACACATTTCTTGGGACGATCAGGTAGCTTTGGCAAATTTAAGGACTCATTCAGTCTCGACAGCATCGGCTTATGGGTCTATGTGAACGTTTGAGGAACGCTCTGCTCCGAGGACAAGAAGGTAGTAGGTCTCATCCGGTTGTATATTCCTTTGTCCTTTTCAAAACCTTTAAGTATATGCAAAGTGTATTAAAATAATAACAACAATAGTAGTCAGTGTGTGCTGGGCCTCTGCTGATGAGGTTTTTTTTTAAAGATTTTATTTATTTACTTGAGAGAGAGCAGGACAGAGAGGGAGCAGGGGGGAGGAGCAAAGGGAGAAGGAGAAGCAGGCTCCTTGCTCAGCAAGGAGCCCGATGCAGGGCTTGATCCCAGGGCCCAGGGATCATGACCCAAGCCAAAGGCAGATGCTCAACTGACCGAGCCATCCAGGCGCCCCTGCTGATGACTTTAGACATGTAATAAAATCTCAGGTTATCCTCATAAGAACCCCGCAAGGTGGTACGTCATCCCCATTCTGCACACAAGGATGCTGGAGCTCAGAGGAGCTGATGACGCTGGAGGTGATGTGGCTGGAATGCAAACCCCTTTCTGTTTCTACGGCTTATGCTCTCAACCGCACCTGCCCAACTCTCACGCAGGTCCAGCAGGGACTCACAGTCCCATCGGACAGGCTGAGAAGGCAGCCCCGGTGGGTTCGACGATGGGCCCGAGGTCACACAGCCAGGCAGCAGTGGAGCCAGAAGCCGCATCTCCTGGAGGCCACCCAGGGCTGCTGCTTCCACAGCACCCCAGTCATCTTAGGGAGCCCTGGCCAGAGCCCCAAGGGCCCTCTACCCGCCCTTCCCGTTTCTCACGAGGCGCGTCTTTCCTGTCCGCAGCGGCACCACCCAACCCAAACCGTGAGGTGGCTGGGGACACCATCATCTTCCGGGACACCCAGATCAGCAGCAGGGCGGTGTACCAGTGCAACACATCCAACGAGCACGGCTACCTGCTGGCCAACGCCTTCGTCAGCGTGCTGGGTGAGCGCACCCCACCCCTTCCTCGCCCTTGGGGCAGCCTCCCTGGGGAAGCCTCCCTGGGGCTTGCCCCTGTCGTGGGCCCACCTTCTGCTCCGAAGTTCAGCCCAGCTGGGTGGGATAGGAGGGCCTGGGATGGAGGGAGCATGGAGACGGAAAATGAATTTGCCAGGGAGGATGGGGAACTTCAGATCCATGGAACTGGGCATGCAGACGGTCAATTCCTTGCTAGGATCATGTCTCCAGATGAGAGGGAGGGGCCTGTCTCACTCCCTCTGCATATCCAGGCCAACTCTGCCTGCATTCTCAGTGCCCCAGGGCAGGATTTGGTTCTGAGTACTGGGGTCACTCCTAGATCAGGGAGAGGGCAAGGGCAACTAGGAGATGTGCTAGGGTGGGGAGGGGCTATGTCAGTAGCTGCTGTATAATCTGGGGGAGACCCTTTGCAAAAGCTGGATTGCACACAGGGTAGGTAGAGGGCAGAGGGAAGAGCTTCCTCTTCCCTCCCCTAACCCTGGGAGGCTTCTTGAAGGAGGGAGGTTGATGGGGGAAGGATTGGGGGGTGGTAGGGAGGGCTCCTGGAATGCTGCTGCGCTGCTGGGGCACATGGAAGACCTGGGGGGGTGGGGACCAGAGGAGGTAGTTCCCCCTAGCCAAGGTCCATTCTCCGGGAATTGCAGATGTGCCACCCCGGATGCTGTCACCCCGGAACCAGCTCATTAGGGTGATCCTGTACAACCGGACACGGCTGGACTGTCCGTTCTTTGGGTCCCCCATCCCCACACTCCGATGGTAAGTTCCAGGAGACCAGGCCACGCCCCCGGGGGTCCTCAGCCCAAAATTGGTATTCAGTGAGACCAGGCAACCTTATGGGGTCCGAATGGGGAGGAAGTTGACCGATCATTGAGGTCAGCCCCCCTTAACGTACAGAGATGGAAACTGAAGCTCAGAGAAGGCCAGAGACTTGCCAGGGCCACCCAGCAGTGGGAGGCAGACCCCTGCCCACGGGGCCGGCCCTCTCTCAGTGTGCTGTGTGTTCCGCTGCTCTGTCGTGAGGTTTAAGAACGGGCAGGGGAGTAACCTGGATGGTGGGAACTACCATGTCTATGAGAACGGCAGTCTGGAAATCAAGATGATCCGCAAAGAGGACCAAGGCATCTACACCTGTGTTGCCACCAACATCCTGGGCAAAGCTGAAAACCAGGTCCGCCTGGAGGTCAAAGGTAAAGGAGAGGTTGGTAGGGAGAGGGCAGGTTAGGGCAGCCAAGGAAGCCATTTCTTCAAAGTGATTCCCACACGCCATTCCCTTTGACAACTCACTGCTTGTCCTGTTGACTCCCTAATGGGGCCCTCCCTGTGGACCTCTGTGTCCTCACAGGGCTTCCAGCTGGCCTGGGTGCTGGAAGGGCAGGGTCCTGTTCAGCCCAGTCCACGTGGGATTAGAAAGGGAAGCCTGGGGCACCTGGGTGGCTCAGGCATTAAGCATCTACCTTTGGCTCAGGTCATGATCCCAAGGTCCTGGGATCGAGCCCCATGTTGGGCACCCTGCTCGGTGGGGAGCCTCCTTCTCCCTCTCCCACTCCCTCTACTTGGGTTCCCTTTCTGGCTAGCTTTCTCTGTCAAATAAATAAATAAAATCTTTAAAAAAAAAGAGTGGGGAGAAGAGTGAGACCCCCACCAACACCCCACTACCACCCCAGGAAATCATCACAGGTTTCCAAAGCAGAGAGAAAGGACTTGTTTCCTCCTTGGAATCGTGCCCACCCCCCCACACTGTTCATATAACTGAACATTATCTCTGCCATCTTCCGTGGTCCATCTAACCTTTCATGCATGTCACGACGTGTGGCCACGTGGGGTTGGGGGCAGAGGCCACGCCAGTGATGAGCTCCCTTGGCTTCCCCACAGACCCCACCAGGATCTTCCGGATGCCTGAGGACCAGGTGGCCAAACGGGGCACCACAGTGCAGCTGGAATGTCGGGTGAAGCACGACCCCTCCCTGAAGCTCACGGTCTCCTGGCTAAAGGATGATGAGCCTCTCTACATCGGAAACAGGTTTCTCCTCCTTCCTTCTCTCTTTCTGGTGCGAGTCTGGGCCCATTTTCTTCCTCCTTGCCCTCGACACACTGAGGGAACTCGGGCATAAGGAGCTGCATCCTGCGTGTCCCCCAGGAACTGCTGCTGGGGGTGGGGTGGCTGTGCCAGTGGCTCCCCCATCCCACGTGCTCTCTGCCTCTCTCCTCCTCTTCTATCTCACTCTCCTTTTCCCCACTCCTTTCTCTCATCCCTCCTTCTTCCCTCTCTCCCCTCCTACGCACTCCTCCTCCCTTCCTCTTCTGCTTTGAGGTCCCCTTGGCGCTGGGTCCTCAGCCCCGCTTGCAGTACCCCTGTTGTCCAGCAGAGGGCAGGGCTGGCCCGAGCTGCCGGCCACTAGGGTGTTAGCGGGGTGTCTCAGCCCATAGGCATCTGGGACGCTTTTACTAGACCACACCAGCCTCCGGGGTCCAGAGTCAAGTGGTGTGGGGGGAGCGGAGGCATTGACAGTGTCTAAAAGTCCCGACGGGTGTCTGTAATGTGCAGTCTGTGATGGCGAGGACTGGTCCGAGCCGCTCCCTCCGCGAGACTCTTTGTCGCAGCCCCTAACATCTCAGGGGGGGATGGCGGTGCAGGGTCAGGCCTAGGGAGCAGCGCGATCATCTGGCTTTTGCAGGGGCATACCTGACAGGCAGGCACAGGCATCCTCACTCCGTGGGCGCCCACAGCTTTCACAGCCCACCCTGCTCTGTGGTGCTCACCTCCCTCTGCAGGAGACAGTGCAGAGGAGCCCGGACACCCGGCCTGAGCCTGGGTGCACAGACCAGCCTGGGCTGAAGGGACAGCTGGAAGTAGGGGAAGGGGAGGGATGCCAGCCTGCCTTTTGCGGGGGTGGACCTAACTGTACCCTCATTTGGGAGGGGGGCACAGCATAAGAAAGGCACAGAGAGTAGACACTGGAGAGTTTGAGGACATGAACATGGGTCAGAGCCACTTCTGCTTCACCCACTTGCCTTTTCTTCTCCGTCAAGCACTGAAGAGCTCCAGGTAATGGTGAAGACCATGGGAGAGAGCCTCCTGTCCCCTGCCAGCGGCTGTGGCTGCCCAGCCCAGCCTGTGATTGCTCCCCTCTCACCCTCCATCCCCACTCCAGGGAGACAGCAGGCAGGGTGCAGAGCTCCCCACTCCCCCGCTATCAGCCCACTCACCCTCCTCCCTACCCCTCCTGGGGCCCTTGCAGGATGAAGAAGGAAGACGACTCCCTGACCATCTTCGGTGTGGCTGAGAGGGACCAGGGCAGTTACACCTGTGTTGCCAGCACTGAGCTGGACCAGGACCTGGCCAAGGCCTACCTCACTGTGCTAGGTAACAGCCATGCTCACACGTGCTCTGACCCTCCCCCACCCCACCCCTTCCCGATCCCAGAGAAGCGGTGGGGCCTGGGCAGGTCTTAGGCCATTGCCTGCGGTCAGCAGGCTGGGCAGACACAGTGATCTCTTCCCTCTGATCTAAGGGTTAGGAAGGCGCTCCTTTCCGAGCAAGCTGCGCCAGGCACCTTACCTCCGAGGGGAATCATTAACTCACCCAAATCCTCAGCAGATGGATGCCTGAACGAGAGAGGGAAGGTGGACAGAGGACAAATTTTTTTAGACACTGTCAAGAAATGTCACTGTTACAAAATGATCTTGTGATCATTTTGACCTCTGTACCCACTTAAAACAATCCATTGTTGAAGCCAGATTGCATTTTGAGTTGGTCCCACCCACACTTTCGGCCAGCCTCCTTCCCACTCCCGCCCTGCGCCTGTCTCCTGATGGGATTCTGTAGGGCGCTCTGCATTTAGCAAACCGATTCCATCATGTCCTGCCTTGTGTCTAGGCCAGACTATAAATATGGAGCCAACCTCAACCCCAGGGGAAGGTCGCCTTTCCCATCCAGGGAAGCACATGCCCGGGTGTCCCCTCCTCACCTCTGTCCTCTCTCGGGCATCGTATTGCCATTACTATTGGTGCGCTCCCTCCCTTTGGTGGTGGTGACTCACAGTCTTGGGGGATGGCGGACCCAGGCCCACGGGGGCATTGGGATGGGAAGGAGACAAGCGCCAGCCGCAAAGGAAGCATGGGGGGTGGGGGTGGGGTTCTCCATGGAAGCAAAGGTGAAGTTGTGCCCAGAACACCTCTGCCCAGGACAGCTGTTCAACCCTTGGCCACCTACTCCCATCCTTCTAGAACACCTGTAACCCTGGATAACTTGCTAACCTGGATAACCTATCTTACCTTGCAGCTGATCAGGCCACTCCAACTAACCATTTGGCGGCCCTGCCCAAAGGTAATTCGTACTAATCACAAGACCCCAGCCAGAGCCCCGTCCAGGTAGCAGGGAGGGTGGGGTCTGAGGAGGAAGGTGCTACAGCATAGGACGTGCCAGGGGAGGCCGCTCATTGCCAATCCCGAAGCCTTTCAAGGGCCCCGCCCCTCTCCTCGCAGCCCAGCCACCACCCGACTCCGGGCTTCCTGCGCCTTTCCTAGGTGGGGCTCCAAAGTCCTCAGCTGCTCTTCCTCCCCGTGCCTTCCTTCTGGCCACACTCAGCACTTCCTGGTGGGGGCCTGTTCTCTCCCCCAGCTTCGGCCTCAGAAGCACGGAGGGGGCAGCTGGGAAAGTCCTCTCTTCAGATTACCTGAGGCCCGGCTTGTTTGCGGCTCCGTCTGTGGCGGCACACCCCTTCACAGCCGGCATCCACACGCGTGCACGCGTACACAAACGTGGGCTCCCGTGACCCGCCTTCCCGATGCTCCCAGTAACGAGCCAGAGCACTGAGCTAACTGGCCCGAGCAGCCAGGATGGGGAAACATCCCGCGTACCCCACCAGCAGCGCTGAGGTGGCCTCATCCCCGGGCCAGGGTGGCCCTGGCAGCCACTGAGGAAGTCCAGTGAGACTGGATCCCCCAAAAGCGCTGTCCCCAGCCCCATTTGGAGGCTTGATGGGGCTTCTCTGTCCTGCTGTCTGTCACCGAAGCTCTGGACTGAGTCCCTACTTCCACCCTCGTCCGGTCCTCTGCCCTTGTCCCTCCCACGCTCCTAACCAGTCCGCCTCGCTCAGCTCCCCCAACACCCCACTGAGCCCCTGCCCCCTCCAAGCCTTGGCACACAGAGTAGAAGGTAATTATCCTGAGAAAATGAGACCGGATCCCACACTTCCTCCCCAGTTTCCCTACAGGTGGCCAGCATGGGTCTTATGGAAAGGACAGCATTTTCCAAACGCTCACCCCCTAAGAATAGCCACAGACATGGGATGGGTTGGTCCCAGTTCTCTCTGTGCCCTACATCCTTTGATGATTTTTTGAGGTGGTGGAATTTGAAGTCTCCTCTTTGTTCTTCCTCGGCCCAGGAAGAGGAACTGGGGTGGGCCCTGGGCTGACCATTCCAGGAAGGCCAGGGCTGGTTCCTGCAGGTGCTGACCTCTGCCCATCCGGGACCTGTCGTAGGACAGTGTCCAAGGCCGGGGCCAGTGCAGGGACGGGCCGGCTCTAACTGGGGAGTCCCGTGTGGTGTCTTCTTCCTCTGCTGCCAGGACGGCCAGACCGACCCCGGGACCTGGAGCTCACAGACCTGGCCGAGAGGAGCGTGAGGCTGACCTGGATCCCAGGGGATGACAACAACAGCCCCATCACAGGTCAGCCCAGGGCCCTGCGCTCCAATCCAGAAAAGAGGGATGGATGGCAGCCTGGTTACTGGTAGCAGCTGGAGGCCTTGCCCTGGTTTCTGGTCCTGCTTCCCCCTTACCTGACGTGTGCCCTTGGCTATTCGCACGCGGAGCACATGGAGGCCTTGGCTCCCCTCTCAGTGTCTGGGGTGGGGGGATTCTCCCTGTGCCTTTATCTCCCCAACGGAGAGTGTAAAGACTAGTGGGAACCGCACAGGAGAACGTCACAGAAGTCCGCTACTTCAGCTCCCAAACAGCGCTATCTTCCTTGCCTACTCAGACTACGTCGTCCAGTTCGAAGAGGACCAGTTCCAGCCTGGGGTCTGGCACGACCATTCCAAGTTCCCGGGCAGTGTCAACTCTGCCGTCCTCCAGCTGTCCCCATATGTCAATTACCAGTTCCGGGTCATTGCCATCAACGAGGTGGGCAGCAGCCACCCCAGCCTCCCCTCCGAGCGCTACCGGACCAGCGGGGCGCGTGAGTACCCGAGGGCTGATGGCCAAATGCACTGAACCCAGCTGCCCTGAGTCTCCACTGAGTCCCCCCAGTTCCTGGCCACGTGAACGTGGCAGGCCATTTAACCTCTCCAAGGCTGGACTTCCTGAGCTTTGAGACAGGGAATGACAGCAACACTGCCTCCATCCTGGGCATTTGGGAGCCTTGGGTCTGGAGATACGGTCTGGGTACCTACCGCGACGTCTGGCGTATCGTAAGCACCCAGTAAATGCTCACTGCAGTTATTATTACTAATATCCTTAATAATTCTGGATCGTCTGCTGTAAAGGGAAGCGCTAGGCAAAGATTTGCCTTAGAAATACATAGTCTGGTGTTATCTCAGATTTCTTTCCCTATCACACTTGGGTAATTTAGATTTCTGAAAATACACCAGCTCATTGTGAGTGGTGCTGCTCCCCCAAAATGCTGAATGCCAAGGATAAGCCAGCCTGGCATTAAACTTACTTAGTGGCTAATCCGGGAAGGGGATAATCCACATTGCGTTGGCTGTTGGGACCATCCAAAGTGCGGAAAGCCTTGTGATAAATGCTGTCTAGTGAGGGATTAAAACTCAAAAGAAATTATCCCTGCTTGGTGGGGGTGGGGGATGTTCAGTCTCAGCTAGGAAGGCACGTCCTCCTCAGGAGAAAACCACGGAGTAAGTTCAGTTGCCTGTGGGTCGGTGTGCAGAGAGATGCTGAGGAAGGATGGCCGTGGAAGGGGCTGGTCGGCTGGGAGGGAGAGAGGCCCTGGTAATGCACATTGGACTTGAACTTTGCACCCCCTTTGGGTTGCAGCCCCTGAGTCCAATCCTGCCGACGTGAAGGGAGAAGGCACCAGGAAGAACAACATGGAGATCACGTGGACGGTGAGGGTCCCTCCCAGCCCATCTCCCGATGGGTGCGCTGTCTTGACCTTGAGCGCTGGTAGCCCTTTTGCTCCATATATGCCTGAGGCCCCAAGGCTGCTCTCTGCCCTGGACATGCAGGGCCCAGACAGGAGCATTATCTAAGAGCAAGATTTCAGACTGGAGATAGGAGCAGAGGTGACCGAGGAACATAGGCAGCTAGTTGGGCAAAATCAGAGAGAGTAACCAGCAACGAAAATGGACTTCTCTAGGAGAAGGAGAGTGTAGAAAAGATTTAGCCTAAACATCGGTGCCTAGTGTTGCTGTGTCCTGGGGTCCTCCCACTGGAGATGGTTGGGGTGCAGGGGAGACCAGCCCCCAAGCTGCTTTGAGTGCAGGCTTTCTTTTAGTCCAGGAAGGAACGAGAGGACGTAAAATCATCTCTCCGGGCCAGGATTGAAAAAAAATCCCATCTTCATCTTGGCTCTCTGACTGTTTTCCAAACCAGAATTGGGATTTGTGGTCTCAAAATGACTTTTTTCCAAAACCAATTCCAAGTCTGAGAGATGCACTTTCAGCCATGGAAATATTAACATTTCTGTGCTGTCGCCAGGAGTGACAGAAGCGGAGAGATACAATGTGTAAGATCATGGCTGTCCCCATCTTCTGGGGACCCAATCTCACAGCAGCCTAGGCAGCTGGGCTGAGCCCAGATCCAAAACACTGGGGCTCATCTTCAGGGCCTTGTAAGGACCGGCTCCTGGTCTACAGCTCTGGAGGGGACTGCTTCCTGGGCCAGGCCCTTAGGGAACGAAGAGCAGAGTTGTACCCACCCTTAGCTGCTGGGCAGGACAACATAGTCACACATGGGTTCAGTAGAGCCCAAGCCAGTTCTGTAATTTTGAGTTCATTGGCAGCCGGCATGCTGTGGCTAAACCAAAACTCATCCCTCTCCAACGTCAAAGAACATTCTGTGATTTTCTTGTTTTGTTCTGCTTACCGATTGGTCACAGGAGAGTCCTGTTGAAAATAAATCTTTGGCTTCCTATGCACTTGCAAACGTGGGTGGCTCTGGGACTCAGAGAGACTAGGTCTTGGGTGAAGACTGTCACAGAAAATCTACATGCTGCTGAATTCATAAGACTTTGGGCTTTGGAGGACTCAGCGTGAGGTGGCCTGGTCTCCCACTGCCGCAAGGGGGCGGTGCTGGGCAGATCGGGGCAGGGTGCAGGCTGTGGGTAGGTCTGGGCTCCACCCCTGCCCTCGATCTCTCCCTGCTCAGCCCATGAACGCCACCTCCGCCTTTGGCCCCAACCTGCGCTACATCGTCAAGTGGCGGAGGAGAGAAACTCGAGAGTCGTGGAACAACGTCACAGTCTGGGGTTCCCGCTACGTGGTGGGGCAGACCCCTGTCTACGTGCCCTATGAGATCCGAGTCCAGGCCGAAAATGACTTTGGAAAGGGCCCTGAGCCAGATACTGTCATCGGTTACTCCGGGGAAGATTGTGAGTACCCTCCCCCATCCCCCAGCCAGGTCCTCCCAGCCGGGCTGCGCACAGCCAGCCTCACAGCCCAGGAAGCTCGGGGTGGGTCCTGGGACTGCCAAGAACATCCCGGGAGGACTGCTGGTTCCCAGGAAAGAGAAATTCCCTATGGTGACCTCAGGCAGACAGGCCCCCGGTAATGTCGGGAGCCAAAATGTCATCACCACCCAAACGATAGTTAGAATTACCAAACATCATCAGCTAGTCCAATACTGCCATTTCACGGATGTGAAAACTGAGGCCCTGCAAGGGAAAGCCGTTGTCAATATTACCCAATAGCAAATGTCAGGCTTGAAAACGGAAGCCAGGCCTTCTAGTCTACCTGAATGTCAGCCCTTACTAGTGCCAAGACTCCAGGACTCTCCCTCCCAAAGAGCCACAATCAGACTCCTCCAAAGGAAGCAGGGCCACAGGCCAGACTCCTCCCTGGCTCCCCAGGGGAAACCTCGAGAAATAGAGGTCTCCAGAGCCCCAGATTGGAATAACCCAGACCAGCTACCTGCTGGCATCCCAGTGTTGCTCTTAACCCTTGGAACTGAGCGTGCAAAGAGTTCTTTGGAGGCTAGCCTTGGTAAATCAACAAGATTCCAGGCATGTATGTAAAAGTGTATCCCTGGCTTTGAAGATGGCAGTGGCTTTCCTGTATCCCGCACAGTAATTCAGTAGGCTGCTGAGCAGAGCAGGAGGGCCAGGGGAGCCCCTCCCGATCAGGGTGATCCAAGAAAAGATCACGTAGGTAGGTGGAGAGGAGGACAGAAGGAAGGGAGGAGAGAGTCTTGGGGACCCCACTGCTGGGGTCAAGAGTAGGGCCCATGTTGTGCCTGACAGTCAGGTGGGAAGAAGTGAGGCTGGGGGCCTGTGCACCACTTCCCTGGAGGTGATTATGGACTGGACCCACTGGGGATAAGTGGATATATCAGCAGACTCTGTCCACCCTGCTCCTTGTCTCGTGGTGGCAGACACGTCCAGACAGGAGACTGGCAGGAACTACTGGCTGGTGAGTATGGAACGAGTAGTGCTAGTCGTGGATTTCGTGGGCCCGCCCACAGTTCCCACGGCACCCCCCAGCCCCCCTCCGCCTGTGCTCTGCTGGACCAGAGGGGCGGGGCAGAGCTGTACCTGCGGCAGAGTGCAGCGAACAGGGCGCGTGCGGGTCTCCCTCTTCAGGGGGTCAACCATCAGAATCCCCTCCTGAACGAGGTTAGGGCTTCTTCAGCCTGTGGCTGACATTTCCAGCAGGGTCCTAGTGGGAAACGAGTGTCACTCAGAGGGGACTATCTCTAATGTGAGGATGGGGTTCGAGGGAAAACAGCAGGGTATCAGGAGCCACCCAGAGGACTAGCAACAGCAGGACCCCAGTATAACACTCTATCTGAGCCTTGAAGGGGCAGCGGACGGGGGCGTCCCCATGAGCAAGAGGTAAAACCTTGTGTAGAAAAGTGTAGCAGCCCTGCAGCCCACAGAGAGGCGGCCAGAGGACCTGGTACCTCCCTGTCCTCCTGCCCTGGGGTCTCCCATTGGCCTTGCCTATTAAGCAAACCCCTCCAGGGGCCTGTGAACAGGGGGAGGAGGGCAGCTGTCACGGTCCGGAGAGGGCAGCCTGCTGGGACGCAGAGCAGGTGGAGAAGGGTAGTGCATGGGATGGGGGAGCAAACGGAGGCTGCTCAGCTGGGAGGATAGCAGATAATCTCCCTCTAAACTTGTGGGCAGATCTCTCCCAGCCTTGGCCTGGCCTTCCCCCGACTCCCCAAGGGCAATCTCCTGGGACACTGCTGGCCTCATGGAGTACCCCGTGACCAGAGTGGGGTGGAGGCACCGGCCAGCTGAGAACACGTCCCTCGAGTCCAGGGGCCAGCCCTCCTTGCTTAACCGGCTCTCTGTCCCAACACATTGCAGATCCCAGGGCTGCACCCACTGACGTTAAAATCCGAGTCCTGAACAGCACGGCCATCAGCCTGCAGTGGAACCGCGTCTACCCCGACACGGTGCAGGGCCAACTCAGGGAGTACCGAGTGAGGAAACAGCTCCCAGCCCGGCCTAACCACCCGGCTTGCTAACCAGGGCAAGGGGCCAGCAGACGCGGGAGGGGTTCTAGGGCTCGCTGTGGGATCCAGAGTTGATTCAAGATGATGTCCGGGTTAGCTGTTTAAAAATAGCCCCAGAGAATGATGATGCGGGTATCCGCAGGTGTGTCCTGCGACAGCAGGGCTGAAAGACTGCTCAGCGGACAGTCACACAGAGGGCGGCAGGTTCGGGTAGACGCCGTGCGTGGCCCGTTGTGCCCCTACACCAGCGAGCACACACACCTGTGTCTTAGGAGAAGCGTTGAGGCCCCACTGAGCTGCACCCCTCCCCTCTCCTAGTGGTCCCCGCCGGGCTGCTTGTCTCACCTGGTCCGGTTTCATGACACCCAGGCAGAGCCTCCAAAAGGTGTAAACACCTTCCCCGTGTCGCAGCCAACTCCGGATTACCGGGCCTGCGGGTTACCCAGGTCCTTGGCTGTGCCGGGTCTCCCTTACACGGAGCTTTATTCAAAACGAGTCTGGGAGGTGATGGCGGCTGTAAGCATGGGTTAGTGCAGGTCCTGTGACTGGGACGTCACTGAGAGTTGGCTGATGGGCAGTCGGAGGCAGAACGGCGGGGATCCGTCTCTCTGGGGCCGTGGATTCGGTAGGCAGGGGAAGGCAGGCAAGAAGATGTGTGCGCTTGAATGAGCTCCTCCCCAGCACTCGTACCCTTAACCGACTTGCCCGGAGATTTTTCTGGCTAAAGTTCCTACTGGGTCCCCTTCTAAAGTGTGGGCTTCCGCCTTCCTTGGCCATTGGAGGCCCAGGTGACGCTGGTGTGGCAGCCTGACCTGGGCCTTCTTCCCTACCGCTAACTGTACCTCGTGTCCCAAACTCTCTCAACTCTGCCCATAACCCTGCTGCCTTCCGGAGGCCATCCCATCCACGCTCTTGCCACCAGGCAGCCTGGTGTCCACTGACCTGGACATGTGTCTAGCTCATTCTAAAGGGCTCCAAACAATTTTAAAAGAAAGCGTTTGACTTCAAAGGATTAAATCAACTCTCCTATTCAGACTTCCGGGGGTAACCTGTCCTTTTCAACTCCTGCCTGCTTCCAAGCTAAACCGTACTAATCCAACTCCAGGCGACGTGGCCTTTGAGCCCAGAAGAGAGCTTTCCATGCCCGGACCCTTGGCCCATGTTTGTGGTTCCGGCATGGACTCCATGAGCAACTCGTTCCCTGGCTTGGAAATCAGGGGCCTTTCTACCAGAAACTTTGGCCAACTTGCCTATTTCCCAGAGAGCCCATGCGGCTCAGGAAGTGACTGAGCCCCAAACCCCTGTTTCCTGTTTGACAGCAGCTCGTACTTGCTAGGGGTCGAGGAGTGGGGCCTCTCGGGCCGCTCCCCCAGCCCTAGGTGGGGCTGCTCAGGGCACTCGGGACTCGGAGCCTGTGACAAGCAAAGGGAAGACCAGTCACTCCCAGCGCCACTAACAACTAACCCAGCTCTGCCTGACCGTCCCCTCACCGGCCCGCCTCTGTCCCGAAGGCCTACTACTGGAGGGAGAGCAGCTTGCTGAAGAACCTGTGGGTGTCTCAGAAGAGGCAGCAAGCCAGCTTCCCTGGTGACCGCCCCCGTGGCGTGGTGTCCCGCCTCTTCCCCTACAGTAACTACAAGCTGGAGATGGTCGTGGTCAATGGGAGAGGCGATGGGCCTCGCAGTGAGACCAAGAAGTTCACCACCCCGGAAGGAGGTAGGTCTGGCCTGCAGCTCTTCGGGGTGGGGCAGGACAAGGGCAGCGCAGCCAGCTGGGCCCGGAGCAGCCCCGGCGGGCCTGGGCCGGACAGCACAAGGTGACCTCTGCGTGAGCCCAAGGCGCCGGCATCCTGCGAGCCGAGGAGCTCCTGCCATTCCCGGAGTGCTCCATCCCTGGGCCGGCCTGCCCTGACAAGATGCTATGTCTCAAGAGAAGACCTGTGCCGCCTGCTGACAGAATTGCAGACGGGCCAGAGGACCGACCCTCACGGCCAAGGGCGCTACGGGAGCCTGGGCCATCCCCACCTCCGGAGGCCGAAGCACCATCACTCTGACCACCAGAAGCACCGGCTTGTTCCCCAGCACCCCGGACCTTCAGAGTTCTCTCAGCGCTGTGCTCTGGAAGCTTCTGTCGGGACAGCTGGCCCATGTGTGCGGTGGCCCTGCAGGGGGCGCCCTGCCTGCTGCTGGTTCCGGGTCCCCCTGGGCCTGGGAGGCAGACACCTGTGAAGTTCACCATGTCCTCCTGTACCGGCTCAGCATTTGCTTTGCCCTCTTCTGTTTCTCTTCCCTCCCTTCTTAACCGCCTTTCCGCCCCATTTTTCTTCTCTTCCTCCTTCTTTGTTCTTCCCTCTTATTTTCTTTATTCCTATCTTTCCAGCCCCCTCATTTTGCGTTTCATCTCCAGCCTCTCTCCATCGCTCCCGTTCCTGGTGCCCTGTCCATGAGGCCCACCTTGGGCTTCTTTCTACTGACCCCTGAACCCAGCATTCTCAGCTCGGAGGCCTGGGCCTGCTGCTGGGCCCCAGGGTGAGGAACCTTGTCTGAGACTGGGAACCGCAGCTTCTGTGCCCACAGCTCTGGTTGGTTCCCTGCTGGCTCGAAGGCATCTTTGCAGGGACAGAGCCTAACGTGTGCTGAATCCACAGTAGTTGCTAAAGGAAAACCTGACTGACTTCTTCCGCATTTAAAGAGAGTCTAAGCCATGCTTGTCCTAAACGGGGAGGGGATATAGGGGTAGGGAGCAGCATCCTGGATGGGGCGAAGGGCTCTCGTCCCCCCTCTGGTTCCCCTGGGTTCTGGCTTAGCAGCTGTCCAGCATGGGGGTTGCCCCAAGTCAATGCCTTCATACTTGTGCTCTGTTTTTTTTGTGTTTCCTCATCCTGCCTCTGCCCTCCCCTTCTTTTCCCCTGCCCTCTCCTCCTTCCCCAAGTACCCAGTGCCCCCAGGCGTTTCCGAGTCCGGCAGCCCAACCTGGAGACAATCAACCTGGAGTGGGATCACCCGGAACACCCCAATGGGATCCTGATCGGATACACGCTCAAATACGTGGCCTGTACGTTCCACGCTTCCTTCTCTTAATCTGGGATTCACAAGCCCCGTTCTTGCCATTTCACTAAGGAGTCGAGGTAGAAAAGCTCGAGGTAGCTCAGCTCGCCCTGCAGAGGGTTAGCAGTGCCAAGGAGAAAGTTCCCCTAGAGGATTAGGGGAGGCAGAGACCCAGCCCACGCCCCCAGCCCATCCCCATCATCCCCCTGCCCCCCAGCTGGCACAGCTTCTCCTGCCAGGAGCTCCCAGTCTAATGAGGGATTTAGCCCTATCCTTCGGGGATCTTAGAGTTTCCAACACCTACAAGTGAGTCTAGGAAAGACCGTATTTGTGCCTCATCAGACGGGATACATTACACACAGGGGAATCCACACAGCACTCGGGGAAGCTAAACCAGGTACCGTTTATGTCAGGAGCCCAGGTAGGGAAGACCTCACTGAAAGAGCTTAGTGTCACCCTGTCTGGACAGCAGTGTCCTTATATTTGAGAAGCCTCCACAGTGGCTGATCTTGTACCTCATTGGGAAGCTCAAAGGGCCAGGTGTTGTGCTGTGGACGATTTTAATAGCCAGCTGCGTGCTTGTGTGCTGTTCTAAATGATCTCTGGCCTGACCGTCCCCCTTTGAGGTATACTGAATAGGCCTTTTACAAAGGAGGCATTAATGATCAAAAACTCTAGTGATTCTGCCCTAGTTGTGTTTGAAAGGAAGAAAGGACCTCAAAAGTTTTGTCCTTATTGAAAAGGCCTGGGGATTATAAACCAAATCTTTCAGAACCATAACTTTACAGTGAGCTGGAGATAATGAGATCAGTGAAAAAGCCTGAGCCCTGGGGTGTCATTGAAGAGCCGGAAAGTTTCTGCCCAGGTCTCTGCCCTTGAACCCCAATCTCCCAACCCCCGGGTCATTAAGGTCCTGGGGCGAGCTCCCCGTGTTCTCTTTGCAGCAGAGTCCGGAAGGCTTTCTCCTTCTAGCTGCAGATTATATAACCTACCATGGTCACGGCTGCTCGAGTTCAATTCCACTTACCTATCTCTCCCCAGTTAATGGAACCAAATTAGGAAAGCAGATAGTGGAAAACTTCTCTCCCAATCAGACCAAGTTCACGATGCAAAGAGCAGACCCCGTGTCGCGCTACCGCTTTACCCTCAGTGCCAGGACGCAGGTGGGCTCTGGGGAAGCTGTCACCGAGGAGTCACCAGCACCCCCAAATGAAGGTAGGTGCATTGCCGCAGCCTCGGGGGTGGAAGGTCCCGGCTAATTCCGATGCCTAGAGAAACACCCTCACCTGGCCTTCTGGCCACCAGCCTTCTGGGCTGGAGAGAAAATAAGGCTGCAGGTCCTCTAGCGCCCCCCGCCCCAGGATACAAGAGAACCCATCCCCTATGCTGAGAGGTAGGTGTATCTGGAAAACTCAGATCTTCTTAGACAATGGCACTCAGACCTGACCCGCACTTTGCCTTGACTTGCTCAGCTACTTAACATCTTCACCTGTCCTCCTTGGGGGTGGGGAGGGGGGGATAGGAAAGAGAGCCTGGGTCGTGGGAAGTAAAGGTGCTAATGAACTTCAGAGAGCTGCAGCAGTGTTGGCCCATGGTGGGGGAGGGGGGCTGCAGTGCTACTAAGGATACCTGGGGACAACTCTGGGATACCTCTTCTCCGGAGGGCACACGGAGCCAAGGAGGGAGGGAAGCAGCCTCGATCGACGCTACTCGCCAGGAGCGTGAGCACAGCAGGTGTCGGCCCTGCTCGGAGCCTGAGCTGGGTTGGGTGTCAGGCGGTGCGCAGGGAGGGCGTTGGGAAACAGCCCCTGGCCAAGCCAGCTTTCCTGAGAGCAGCTCTTGGCTCAGCTCTTAGCTCCTGGTATCTTCCTAGCCCCGGAGCACCCCCACTTGGCTGTGCCTGCCTGAGAAGGCCACTAGAGGGGACTCCAGGCCCACTCGTACCCGTGCTGGCTCCCAGAACCTCCAGGATGCCAGGCTGTAGGAGGAGACCCCTGTTTTCCAGAGGTGCAGTGGTGTGTTCAACAGCCGTTTCCTGAGCATCTGCCACGTGAGGTCCAAACACGGTGCCAAAAACAAGGGACATGGTCCAGCAGGGGTGAGCCGCAAGAATATCTCCTTGCTGTCCCACGTGAGGAATGTTAGGTTTAGCTGAGGCAGGTGCAGTGGCCATGCAGAGGCTGGGCAGAGAAGAGGTCCACTCTGCAAGGGAAGAGGCAGTGTGAATGGGGATTCTAGAAGCAGACAACAGGTTACTCTGTGCAGTGCTTGTCCCAGAAGCTGAGGTCCGACAGCCTGACCCTGACCCACATTGGACCTCCCAAGCACCTCTTCCCCACCCCAGCAGAGCCTCAGGGCTTCTTCCTCTGGGCCTACCAGGCCTGTTGCAGGGACTCCCAGCTCAGCTTCACAGCCACCCTGCATCCCTCCCCAGCCCTGCCCATCGTCCCCCTCCCCCTGGGCCAGCAGGCCAGGCTAAGCAGGCAGGAGCGGGGATGGGCAGGACCTGGAGAAAGGCTGACAGTCCTTCTCTGGTCTTATAAACCGGGCATGAGCCACACAATAAACTCCTCTCCTAGTGTGCTTGTCAACCCCCCTGGGCACTAGGGCAGTTTATTAGGGCAGGGGGACTTTGGGTAAGTAGCTAATAATACGCCACTTAGCAAAAGCCTGGCCAGAAAAGGGATAACGCACTTTCTTGATTCCTTAATTCTATAAGGAGAGACATAAAAAGAGCCTCTTGTCCTTCCCCATTCCTGGCCCAAAACAGAACATCAGATCAACAAATACCCCATTGTCAAGCCCTAGTGACCACCACAGGGTACATTCTGGGGCCCCAGGGGACAAGAGGACAAAGGGAGACTTTCTTCTCCATTTAGGGGTTTGCAATAAATTCAGGAATTCCTTTTTAGGACTCCCAATCCACAGTTGGGTTTCTTCTTTCATAAAGTTCTGCTGGTGGGAAAGAACAGGGGGCAGCAGACCCTCTGAGCAGGGGCCTCAGGGCTGCCATCTGTGAGAGCTCCTGGGCCTTCCAAGGCCAAGGTGGTGTGGGGGAGGGTTCACAAAACAAGCTCGCCCCTCCTCCATCCGTCCCAATGCTACTCACCATCTTCCCCCAAAGATACGGGATTTGGGGTTTGACGTCCTCCTTATGCCCACAATTCTTGGCATCCCGGAAGGTCACCCAGCCTGCCTCATAGAGATCAGCCTGGCCAGGGAAGACACACCCTTGGGGAAAGACCTGGAAACAAAGCACTCGAGATTCGCCGTCCCTACGACCACCCCTTAGTTGGTAGTCCTTGAGTGGAGGTAGAATCAGAGTGTATTAGAGAGGTCTCCAAGATCCAGGTGGAAAGTTTTCTGTAGAAACATACCAGACTGCCCATGGAATTGACCATGAACCCTGGACACCAATTGGCATCCTCAGGGCAGTAGCCAGCCCCTGGTCACACTGTCTGGGTCACGTTTGAGCCAGACGCTTCTCTGCTCGCTTGTCCTGTGGTTTCACCTGTGCTCTGTTTTGTCTTCCCTCTCTCATCCTTTCTCCCTCTCTCTGGCCATCTTGGGCGCTGTGTTCTGAAGCCACTCCAACCGCAGGTACCGTACCAGCAGCAGAGGTAATGGGCATGGCATGGGACAGTACAGGCGGAGCCCGCCCAGCTAGGGTGGAGAAGGAGGGAGCCCAGGATGAAAGCATGTTCCAGACTGTCTCTTTCAGGGGTTGGGAAGCCAGACTGTCAAGAAGGCTGTGTGCGGAGGATGGGACCAGAGGAGGTCAAAGCTTCCCCCTCTTCCTCTTCACTTACTCTTGGTCCCCCTCGGATGGCTTAAGAGGGCCCCCCGCCAACGGGCTCCAGACCTAGTCTCTGCAGCTGCAGCTTTCTTGGAAGCTGCGTGATTCCTTCCCCTGACTGACATGGGCCCTGGCCTAGTTTTGACATCTCGGGGTGCAGAGAGAGGGTCTGCCGTCCTTGGGTGGCCGGCCGTGCCCCCGAAAGGAATGCTGGCCTGTGAGTGGAGGCAGCTGGCTCCTGTCTTCCGGTCCGGCTGCCATCCCCTGAAAGGGTGCCTCGGGGCGAGCGCTCTGTGCATGCAGCCCGCGCGCGTGGCATGGGGGCCCGGCACCAGCTCTGCCGTCTGCCGTGGGTTCTGAGCAGTGACCGGGACTGAGCTTGTCCTTGGATAGGGCCAGGTGCTCCAGGACCTGGAGTCTCAGTGGGCACCGTAGGCTGGTTGTTCCCTCGCCCCTTAGAAACCCAGCTTCTCAGAGTCTCCAGCATGAAGAACAGCCGCCACTCTTGGGGTCTGGGAGCTAAAAGCACAGCAGAAGGGAGGAGTGGGTGGGCAGGTCCCGACTTAGGACATGGTCCGCTGACCGCAGCCCTCCTGTTAAGCCCTCATGCTGGGCATGTCATTATTGAAGGCCTATCCTCAGGCTGGGGATGCTAGGCAGGGGACCCCACGGCTCCTTCCCCGTCCTCCTCTGCAGCTGAGGGCAAGGCTCACCCTGGCAAAGCAAAGGCTAGGGGCCCAGGGATCACTAGAGCCTCCTGAAGCTCTAGGCAGCAGGGTGGACTGAGAAGCAGGTGAGGAACCGGAGGGTTAGCTTATGAAGACGACTGCCAGATCTGGTTTCCTCCCATCCCCATTTTAGGTTGGTTCTATTTCTGTTGCACACCCCGCTTCCTTCCATTTGTGTTTCCTTTGCCAGATCTGTGGGTGGTGCGCAGCCATCATCCCTCCCTCTCCACCCTCCCAGCTCCCCATCCCCCCTCCACATCATTGCCCAGGCTGGTGGATCCCAGTGCCTCCCCACAGGGCCCAAACAGCCTCCACTGGGATATGAGATAGGCAGATGTCCTGGGTGTGGGGACCATGGAGAAAGCCATCCTTGTACTCCACAGGCTGCCCTGACTTTCTGGCGCAACTTGGCCCAGGGGTTTCTTCTGGAACTCTTCTAGCAGGTGCTCAGGGTAGCCTAAGCAGGCTCAGTGAACATAAGAGGGGGAGACACAGGACACCAAGAGAATCCACTGGAAGCTCATTGGTCAACCAGCTCCCAGCCCACCTCCCCCTTTCTGACACCCCGGGACCCGAGGCAGGTGGGTCGGGTAGCAGGGGGTCCGCTGTGCCAGCAAGCGTCTGTGCCAGCCTGGGCTGCCGCTCTCATGAGTGGCACCTGTGAGGGAGAGGTGATCATTCTGAACCCCCCACCTTCTGCTCCCCATTTAGAAAAGATCTAAGCCCATTGTGGTATGCACAGTGACGGCAGGGTCTCCGACCCTCGATCACACGTGCTTCCTGGGTGCCAGCTTCCCCGGGACATGGCAGTAGAGGCTCAGTGCACGTCTTTGTAAATGAGATGTGCTCATGGCATCGGCTGTCCTCAGCTGTAATGCTTGAGAACCTTCTGCGCACACTGCAGGTGCCCCGCAGTGGAGCCCAGGTCTGACAAATCCGACGCAGGTCCCTTCCAGCTCATCGTTCCTGAACCTGGGTGTTTTATCCCCACACTTACCTGTTCATGTCTCACCCACTAAAAATAAACCCTCTTGCACACCTGGTCTGTAGTCTCTCAGGATGGCTGCCCATCTGGCCTGGCCATCTGTGGCTTGGCCACGGTCGTCCGTGCGCCATGTGGCCATTTTTGGACTGAACCTTCCACCTTGGAATGTCTGGAAACTCCTGTCCTCCTCTGTGACTCAGATCTGCAAGTGTCTGCAGGGCAGCTCCGTGGCGGGTTCTGGGGTCAGGAAGATGAATAAGACAAGCTCTCTCCCCAGTTTTCCCCATCTCTTCTGTGGTGTTCCCCGAAACTCTGGTGGCAAAGCCTCAGCCGTGGCTAGGGTACCTTCCAGTGTGCGTGAGGTAACCCAGTAGGCTGCCATGGCCTTTGGGGAGGGGTGCTATGCTTCTAGCTCTAGCCGCCCACCCCCCGCCACTGTCCTGAGACACCGCCCCCACGGCCTTCCTCTCCATTGTCAGGCTGATACTGTCCACTGCTCATTGGCTACTGTGGTTCTCCAGCCCGTAATTCCTGCTTTAACTGGAGAGGACATCCAAGCTCAGCAACGCGCCTCCCCAGCCTGTGGGCCTCTCCGTCTCTAAGCCCCTTATCTCCTCTGTGCAAACCCACCCCAGGGGATGAACTCCTCTGGGTTACCTTTGACCTGAGCACTGGACAGTTTCTCCATGAAAACCTGCCTCCCCCTCTCACCTGTGGGAGCTGACCCAGAGCCTTTCCGTCTTGCCTCTGCCCCCCCCCCGACTCCCTCTCCCTATCTCCCTGTCTCTCTGCCCCTGTCCAGCTATGGCACAACAGACACAGCTAATGAGTGGGTCAGAGAGAACAGTGATTTGCCAGCTGTGACCTCAGCCTAGCTGAGTCTGCCACCTCCACAGTGACTGTAATGGGAGGACACTTGGGAGGCCACTCCTTGCCTTTTGTTCCCCTCTTACCGATACTGAGACTGTTGATGCTGACCTGGAGGGAAAGTGGTTAGGTGGCCGTCATCAGAAATGCTTCCTCCTTGTCACACTTGGCAGAAGGGACCATTGGTGGGGAGGGGCAAGATGACGCAGCATCTACAGATTCATTTCCCATTCTTGTCTCTGACCAGCAGCACCAGGGAAAAAGTCGCCCTAACTTCGCCTCTCGTAGCCTGTCTGTTTCTAGGGCTTCTTGCTGGAATGCCCAGGGAAGCATGTGCGAGCCTCACTGTGGGCCTGTGGGAGTGTAGTGTGTGTGTCTCTGCTTTACGAGAGCCGAGGGGCATGTGAGAGTGTGTAGAGCTCTGGGGGCAAGTGCCACTGAGTCTGGGGGCACAGGAAATGTAACACCACCACCCATGTGTGCATTACCCAGAACGGGATGATTTTAACTCAGAGTTGTCCCCTCAAAGCTTTTTGGCGATGCCTTTTAAATAGTCATGGAAAAGGAAGGCGCTGTGAACATCCTATTGCCAGAAGTGATTAGAAACTACGCCGCTGGTACGGAGCCAAGTCAGAGCCGGTCCTGCCCAGACGGGCAAGCTAGCCTCTCCAGGGTCCTTCCTGCAGCACAGAGCAGCGGGAAAAGCCCATGTGTGTGTGTGGCCACGGGAGCTGCAAGGGACCAGGTCTGGAAGGGAGCTGACCTCTGCCTTGGGGTCTCTCTGGCTTTTCCGTGTGTTTGTCTGTCTGTCTGTCTTGGTGAGTGGGGTAGGTGGACTCCCTCACCCTGAGCATTTATAGCACTGAGCTTTCCAGGCCTGGGGCCACCTTGCACTAATGCATCCTCGAAGGGTGACTTTGACAGGGAGTCTAGCCACGCCCCACGCCTTCCTGATGTCCACGTTGGCTTTGACCCCACCCAGGAATGTTTGGAATGCGTGGGACACAGCTGGCTACCCAGTGTGACTTCTGTGGTCAGCACACCCTCAGGGTCCAGTACCGCCTCTGATCTTGCAAATAGGGAAGTGGCTGGGATCCCAGAACACTCCCTCCTCCTCCGTGGGGACGGGTAATATTGGAGAATTGGGAATGAAAGGGCCTTTGTTGCTCAGGCTCTTACTGCCAAGTCCTTGGGTCTCCTCATTCTCCCCTGAGAAGAGCTCTCTGGCCATTGTCTCTTTGTCTCCCTCCCTGCCCTGGCCCCCCTTCTGGGCAGTGGGGATCTTATCTTCCTAAACTTCTGGAGCTTTGAGATAGGGCTGGCGTGTGGCTATTTCTCGGGGGTTTACAAGGATCTCCTTCATCTTAACATCCCTGCCTTCTGCCCCAGAAAGCAGACCGTGATCAGATGACAGGAGATGGCACGGGGAGAGGAGGTCTGTCTCTCTCTGGTTTGCCCCCATCATTCTCATCCTCATGGCTTTCGGTAATACTGGACCTAGAGAGTAGTAGGGCCGCCCTCGGTTAGCTTCCCCGACCCTTCTGTAGAAGGAAAGTGGGCATATGGAGACAATGTCACACAGATGGACTTAGCCACCCAGGGGTGGCTGACATCCAGGGTGGCTTTGGGTGGGAGACGAGAGTATGAGAGTGAGCACAGATTTGAACCAATCTCCCTGAAGATTTATGCAACAAAGAGGCCCACAAACATATCTTGTTTATGTCCCGGGGTTTCTCCATCCACAGAGCACAGGTGACACTGCGACTCCATTAGTGCCCATCCCACGTCCTAATGTGAAGGGAAGGGACCTGGGGTTCCTGGAGCCCTAATGTCCTCGGAAGAGAGGAGTTAGGGCAGAGTAATTACAGAAAGGAGCATCACTGGGCAGGGAAGAAGGGAGGAGAGGCAGGGCCACAGATCAGAGCTGAGAGCCTGGGGACAGGCGGACGGTGAGACAGGAGATGCAGACCCTACTGGGAGGCTGACCCCCAGAGTGGGGGCTATTTGCTCTCAGTCGTTGGGTTTGGGGGTGTTAGGACTCAAGCAGCTGTGAGAAAGGGTACTTTGGGAGTGAATGGCTGGGAATGGGAGTCTTCTCAGTGCTCCTGCAGGACACGGCCGCCACCTGCCCCCCTCCAAGGCAGGAGCTCTGGGGCCAGACCCAGGTGCTGCTAACTGGCCTGTGTCTGGGTGGTGCTGGCTGGGGACCCCATGCCGTCCCTGGCACCTGAGCGATTCGGTGTCCGTCCTTTCCCATCCTCATTCTCACTCTTGGCGGGGTGCATGCTGGGTGCTTCGAGCCACACAGACCATGAGAAGAAAATGAAACACGCACAAGGCTTCATTCTCTTCCTGGCCCATGGCTGTGTCCTCTCACTGTGTTCCGTCCGACCCGGTCCGTCACGCGGGGCGGGGAGGCTTCTGGTCACTGAGCCCCATCTCCTCCCTGGGGCTGCCTGCCTTGCACGCGGGGCCGCGAGTCCAGGCCGAGGGCCGCCCAGACCAACCGGACGGGCTGTTCTACATTTCCCCCCCCAGCTCCTCCCCCGTGGCCCCCGACCACGGTGGGTGCGACAGGCGCTGTGAGCAGTACTGACGCTACTGCCCCCGCTGCCACCACCGAAGCCACAACAGTCCCCACCATCCCAAGTGTCGCACCTACCACCGTGGCCACCACCACCGCTGCCACCACTACAACCACTGCCGCCACCACCGCAGAGAGGCCTCCCACCACCGCCTCCGGGACTAAGATGCCCGAATCTGGTACTGCCACTGCCCCTGTGCCCCGTCCCTCCGCCAGAGCCCCCCACGTAGGAGGGCGGGTCTGGGGGTGCCATTGGCCGACGCCTCCCGTTGTTTCTACCTGGAGAGCGCACTGGGTTGCTAGTTCCTGGAGCCCGGGGGCACAGAGCACCACCTAGCACGCTCCACTTTAGGCGGCCCTCCTCGGCTCCGCACGCCTGTTCTAGCCTCATATCCTGTTAACAGAGGCCCACACTCCGCAGGCAGTACCCTGGGGTCCTGGATGGGAGGGCTGCCTCCACCTCCATGCGGAGCAGCAGCTTAGGGCTGAGCATTCTGGAAAGGAGAGAGTATGGGCAAGCGCAGGGGCCTGACCCCAGATAGTCGGCCCGAGAGGGCTTCCTGCCCAGGGCCATGTCACTTCCAGCCCCGCAACCTAGAGGAGTGGGGAGTGGCCAGCCCTGCCAGGCAGCTCTTCCCTCGCCCCTCTCCCAGCAAAGCATATCTACAGCCTCCCCACCCCCGCAGCCTTTTTTTAAGAAGGGCTTCCAGGAAAGCATTGCTACGGAGCCCCGTAATGCCCAAGGGTGCTCTGTTCTTCCCACTCGCATCCCCCACACCCCCAGATACACACCCCCATTTATTTCTAAGAACCAAGGATCAAACACCCTTTCATTACCGGCCCGGGGAGGGCCTCTAGCTTGCAGAGTGCACAGACCGGCTGTAGAGTCAGCCTGATGCAGCTGACGGGGCGGGCAGGAAGCATCCAGAACCCTCCACCGGCAGCTGTAGGGTGGTAGCCGCCCGCCCTACCCCCCCGGTCCTGGGCAGGTCCCTTTACCTTCTGGGGCCTCACTTCTCAGCACCTGAATGAGGATGGAGGCTTGACGCACGTGTGAGTATCGTCTTTAATTCCATTACACGGAGTTATGTGAGCCCTAAGGGGACAAGGGACACGTAACTGACAGTATGTTCTCCGGACCTTGAAAACGCCAATTTGCCATGAGGGTACAATATCTAGAATTTAAACAGCACGGACTGAAGGAAGATGTCGGCTGGGGAGAAGCCTGGCAGGCTACTAGAAGCTGCCACCAGTAGTTTGGTGATGGGCGTTCTTTGGGACCACAGGGAGGCATCTTTGCCTTATAACAGGGCCCCGTGTCCCCACGAGTGCTGTGAGGTCACTGAGTAGATGCGCGGAGGCTGAAGAAGGACAGATCTTACCCGCCCCCACAGAGTTCCTTGCCCTCCGGAGGGGTCAGCCTTGCTGCCGTAGGACTAACCCATGGACTCTCACGTGCGACTCCTAACTGCCCGAGACACCGCGGGGGACATACCCGTGCCCCTGAACTTATCCTTAGAGCCTGGGGACACCCCTCAAACATCCTCATTTCCCTTAACGCAGCAGACTGGTACTGCCATCCATGAATTTTAAAATGACCATTCATCTTTATCATGTCTTAGGACCAGATGTTTCCAAAGTTTACTTTTTTCAGAGTGAAATGGCACTTTTTCTTTGTCCTTAACTTGTCTCTTTCAGACTTCAAGGGATGCGCCCTAACTCTCCCATTGCAGGACTCAGCAGAACCATCCATACTTCCCGTCACGCTTTCTGTTTTTCATAGCAATCGGTAGTCCTCCTTCCTGGTCTTTCTCTTCGAACATTTTCTTTAGCGGTCGGCGTCCCGCTCTCTCTCCGTAGCACGGCCTTCCCCCAGCTCCTCTAAGTCGTTTTGCTTCCCCACGGTTTCACCTTTTCCAGCAGTCCCCCAATCTCTACTACCTGTGAGACCGTCAGATTTGGGTCGATATTGTATTGGCAGCCAAGCTGTTTAAACACAAAATCTCTGGCTAATTCCAGGCCCCAGAGCTGAGGAGGAAGAAGCTCGAGTTCCCACATCATGAGTTCTCGTAGTTCGTTCCCACTAGCAAGAACCATGAGATACCAAGGAGCTGGGATTCGGGGTGGCGTAAAACCGCCAGGACAATGGGATCCCCGGGCAGATAAGTAAAGAATCCCGCGTTCTGCCCTCCCCACGGAGAATGCCCCACGGCGCTGTCAGTGGAGCCTCCGTCTTGGCCCCTCACCTAACAGGAATCATACTCACCTGGGGCAACCGGCATCCAACAAGGGTGTCATAGAGAAGGCATCTCTTTGAAGCGAAGACCAGATCTTTTATCACTTTCCCAGCCCTGCAGACTCGGTCACGTGTCAAGTAGATAATGAATAAATGCATCACCGTACTCTATTCATTTATTTTTGACAAGTGAGCCGGTGACCGTGCCCCCTTGCATGCTAATAAAATATACAGGAGCCACACTTGTAAAGTCTTTGAAATACACGGCTTCACGCTAGTGCTCCGCTATGAATCTTTGCTGGGCAGTGGAGTAATCAGACTGCTGGGACTGGTGAAAAATGATTACATTTGAAGATTAGTGCCACTCTCCTGTCCACAGGCTATGGTTTCAGAGAGTACCGTGGCTTTGATAAAGCACCTCCCAGCTCGTAGGCTCCAGATAATTAATGCTTCCCGTATTGCGTGGAGATCAAGCCTCGGAGACAATTTAGTGCTGAGAAGCCAAAAGAACTGGGTTCTTCCGGTGTCTGAACCTCTGAGGCTTGGCGGTCAAGAAGGAGTTACCTTCTTTGGGTCCCACCTAGCCCAGGAGAGGGAGAGGAGGGCTTCATAGCTCTCCTCCCTACTTAGGACCCTGCGGTTGTAGATCCCAAGTCTCCTTAGGTCATCTGAGGCCCTGTTCCACATAATCCAAGAGTTTGCTGACCAAGAGGGACCTCAGGGACTCCAGAGCCACCCCTCTGGGTTACTGTTCTCTAGTCTCAGGAGTGCGGTAAGGCTTTCCCACCTTTGGTCCTGCCCTTCCTACACATCATGTCTCTCCAGGGCCTTCAAGAGATCCCACTCTCCTTCCTGTAGAATGTCTGTTGTTGAAGGGAACGAGGCTGGCCCATCTCTCGGCTTCCGTCTGTACGCTGGTCAACAGGGCTTTCTCCGGTTTCTTCCACTGCCCCATTCCAATCCATGACAGGGGATCTAGAAAGGGAAAGAACCCAGGTTCGAGCCTCCAGTGGCATGGGTCGAAACCGACTTTTCATTCCGGCCCCTACCTGTGCAGACCCACAGACTGTCTCCAGCTCTCCCTCCCACACAGGTGCTCCTGACTGCACCCGTTCTGACCTGGATGTCGACCTCTGGCCTGGCCACCGAGGCTGCAGCTTGGAGCTCTGGCGGGCCCCGTGCACAGCCTCCTCTGAGTCCTCCCTTTCCGAGCCGCGCACGCGTGTGTATGTGTGTGTAAATGTGTGCGTGCACATGTGTGTGTCTCCGGAGCTGCCTCCCTCCTCACCACTAACCCCTCTTCTAACCTGCCCACCAGCCCCCGACAGGCAGTCCATATGGAACGTCACGGTGCTCCCCAACAGTAAATGGGCCAACATCACCTGGAAGCACAATTTCGGGCCCGGAACTGACTTTGTGGTTGAGTACATCGACAGTAAGCATTGCTGAGCGGAGGGGGGAGGGCGGCGGCGGCTGCTGCGGCGGGTTGCGCAGATGCCATTAGAGAGACCCCGCGGACTCCCCCAGGCTCTGAGGGCCTGCTAGCCCGGCTTAATTATGACTTAATGAAATCGATACGTGCTCTGGCGGCAGTGGGGTGGGAAGAGCAACCAAAGGAGAAGGAAGAGGGCTTCTGAAACCATTAGTGGAGGTCTAGGGTTGCATGTGCTGGGGAGGACCTGGGTAATGGGGCTCTGCGTCTGCTTCCTGCCCAGGATGCGGGTTCTGAATAGCATCCCCCACCCCGTCACGAGCCAAACCTGACTTCTGCGTGGATTTCCGTAACTCACAACCCATGGGGTCTCCACTGGAGAGGCGAGGCCAGTTCAGACTTTTGGGTTCAGCTGTGCTTTGCACACAGAGGAATGCCAGTGGCCCCCCGTCCAAGGCACTGACCGGGACCACTTTGTCTCAGAGAGCGGGTGACTGGAGCTGAGCTATTCACTCTTTATGGGATCTCAGGATCAAGGGTACATATTGATTAGACTGTAGAGTGTGGTCAAATATCTGCCTTCTGTGAAGGAAGATCCCTGCCCCTAGAGACTCAGACACACCATGGTGTTCTCCTTAGCCGTGAATGAAACCAGCTCACCCCGCCGGGAGATCCACCTGGGCGAGCTCCCCGAAGATCTGTAAAAAAAGAGCAAAGCCGACTCTCAGTCCTCTGTGGCCAGAGGCGTTCCCATCCATAGAATCGGCGCCCCATCCATAGAATCGGTCCTTGCCATCGCAGCTCCCAATAGCCACCATTCACCCCGCACCTCAGAGGCCAGGGCACTTGCTTCTCCTGATGTGTGAACTGTCCACACAGCGAGACAGGAGAGGGGAAGCCAGGAGGGAGAGCCAAGAAGTAGAGTCCTGCCTCACCTCCGTGTCCCACGAGGGGGGCTGACTGGCTCTCTGACCCTCCCCAGGAAAGCTCGCACCCAGGAAGTAGGTCGTAATTGTTTAGTGCTAAGACCATAGTGAGGAGAAAAAGCTTGAGGAGAAGGAAGAGCGCCCTTGGCAGAAGGGCTGATTGATGGGAGAGTCAGCATCGCGTAGAAGGTTTGGTAGAGTGGCCCGGTGACCTCCTGGTCTGCACGGTGCCCCCCCCCCAACGCTTCTGCCCTTGACCGGTGACCAGGAACCCAAGCACTGCCTCTCCAGCTCCTCGTGCCTGGTCCTAGGCTGACTGAGGTTTCTGTTCCCCAGGCAACCATACGAAAAAAACTGTCCCTGTTAAGGCCCAGGCCCAGCCTATACAGCTGACAGACCTCTATCCCGGGATGACTTACACCTTGCGCGTTTATTCCCGGGACAACGAGGGCATCAGCAGTACCATCATCACCTTTATGACCAGTACAGGTGAGAGGGGAGCTGGCCTGGCCATCCCCGACAAGCATGGGGCATTTCATCCCATTCTCAGCTTCCTGCTTGTCTCTTCTCCTTGGAAAGAAGAATCATCCCACCCATTCCCCACCTTGCATGGCACGTCTCGGCTCTTACTATACGTCTGCCTACAGCTCCCAGGAACCCAAGAGGAGCCAGAGTGCATGCACAGTGGAAAGGAAGCGCCCTTCCAACCCCGAGGCGTGAGCGGGGAGTCTGAAGGAAATAGGATTGTAGCATGAGGATGGAGGAGGCCACCTGGCCCCCCTCGCTGGGCTTGAAACAAAAGCGCTTGGTGTAGGTGCAAACCCGGGCCCTGGGTGTGGGGCCGGGGGCCGGAGGAGCACGGAGCAACCCGCCCCATGCACACAGGACCTTGCTTCCTGCGCGTGGTGTTAAGAGACAGGGCCATCCAAGGGCCTCGACCCCCCAGATCTTCCCAGGATCAGCACATATGTCACTACCTTGCCACTATCATCTGTTAGAAAAATTCCCAAATGCGTGACATGAGTTGTTGGGGGCTTTATTTTGGCTTAATTTTTTATCCCAAGTTTGCCGTGGCTTCAGAGTAGTTAATCTGTCGTGTTCGGCAAGAGGAGGAAGCTCTCGGGTTGGAGCAGAGTTCTGGCTCTAAAGGGACTTCAGCTGTCGCTAGAGAAGCAGCCTCAGTGCACCAGGGGGATAGGCTGGCAGCGGCTCAGGACACGGGAGCAGGTCAGGATGGGCAGGCAGTTTGGAGACCGGAGGGCACGGCTGATGTGTTCGTGTGTGTCTTCACAGTCGGCCAGGCAGGTGGCCGTGCTAAGCCCTGGGGCCAAGGGCGAGGGTTGGGGAAACAGCCAGAGAGAGAAAAGGACCAGTCCCTGCCCCCAGGATATCCTAATCAGATGCAGGTTAGTAGATACATGCATAGAAGGAAAAGAAATACCACACAATGATTTCTCTGACCTTCTGAATGTTGACTGAAATACTCATTACCCCCCTGTGCCTGGCCAGACTCATCCTGGTATCCTGTATCTTGAGAGTCACCCCCCCCCCCTTCTGTATAAATGTCTCCCTCCACCCCTTCTGGCCTGGTCCCTCCTGGTCTGGACGTCCTGTCCTCCGCCCCGTGCCTCCACCTGTCCTGCCTATGTCCAGGCCATCGAGACTCAGGGAGTCTGAGTCCAGCTGCCTGCTTGAGGCCGGCCCAGCCACGACGTCTGAGCAAGTGGCCAGGCCAGCTTGGCAGCCAGCCAAAGGGACTGGGCAGCTGAGCGAGCAGAGCAGGTGGCTGGACTCTGTCGGACCCAGTCAGGATCCCAAGCTTGCGCTCGTCAGTACATGCGTTTGATTTTGCTTCATTATGAACCTGAGTTCAGCACAGAGGCAGGGAGCCCAGATAAGATCCCTGGCTGGAGCGCCCTGGTAGGGAACCCTGCCAAAGCCGGGCGCCCTCTGCTTCCAGAGTTTGACTTCTACCAGCACCAAGTCCTGGGGCTGTGAGTGAGGGGTGCGGAGAAAGAGCCAGAGAAAAAAGGACCAGTGCCTGCCCTCGGGGACATCCCAGTCTGCTTCCCCATATCGAACATGTGGTACGGGGTGGGGGGGGAAGAAAAGAAAAACAAGAAGATTGATAATACACTTCCAAACATTGGTTCAGTGTCCTTTTCTCTTTTCCTGTGGTGGTTCTGGAGAGACGCTTCCTGATAGATCACTTTCAGAGTGAGTGAGTTTTCCCAGATTCCGCTCCATGCAAGCTGGGGTGAGCAGGTTTGTGACCCCAGCCCTGAGTACGTATTGCTCACTGATGTCACTGGCTGGCTAGAAATTACCATGTGCAAACCACAGAGGAAATATTTTCACTTTCTGAAGTTTGTGTGTTTCTGGATTCTTCAAAAATGCACGCTGTGTATCCTTGGGCGGACTCCCGAGCCAAGTTCCCACGATCGCCTCGGTCCCAGGGTCTCATCAAAGCAAGAGTTTATGAGCATCTCTGGGTCACTTAGGTGACCACAGGCCATCACTTTAGCCCACAGACTCAAACATGCAGCAGTGGTTCAGGAGGGGATATGGAAGAAAACCCCTAGGAATGCTAACCAGCTCCCTGGCCCTCACCAGGAAGATCCCACATGGAAAGTTAATCACCTCCTTGATGCTTTTGAAGCCAAAGAGACCCAAGGGGCCACAGACACATAACTCTGGACTCCGGGGGACTCCTCAGCTCTTCTGTCCTGGGGGTGGGCAGTATGGAGGAAGGAGGCAGGGGGCAGGTGGGGACAGCGGGCCAGCGGAACAAACCGCGGACTGCCTCAGACCGCAGGGAAGCAGGAGGAGGGACATCAGGGGACCTCCCTGTAGTCAGTCTCAGTTATGTTTGGAAGAAACCCAGGATGGGGTATGGTGCAAATGCGGACGTGTCAGCTGCGGCTTAAGTGAGAGCAGCTAAGCCCCAGTGCATCTGAAAGAAGTCCCGTTCTGCGTATTTCTCTGTTCCTATTTCTGAAATGTAATTCTCCTGTGGACTTTGAGTGACTGGCCTTTGACTCATGAGAACCGCCGAATAGCCCATTTCTGAGCAGTGGTGCAGGAGTGCGGTGTGCAGAAGGCACACAAAATATGGCCTCTGGTCTAGAGTGAGAGGCATTGGGACTCTGAGTTTGCCAGGCCTTGTGGGCTGGAAGAGCAGGTGCTGTCTGGCACCCCCGTTCCAGGAGGAGGTGGTGAGCGTCAGCACAGTCCGGTCTTCGAACGTTGTCATTACCGTGTCCATTAGGAATCTTGAAACACGTTGAACAGATCGATTAAGAATGATGTTGGCAGCCAAGTGTAATGCCCTGAGCCTCCCTACAGCGCCTTCCGCATCACAGAGTCCGTTCTGTCGGGTCACGTTGTGAATGAGATCATCTTGTCCTAAATTGCTTTTTGTTCTTGAGAAGCTAAGTCACTTTGATGGGGTCTGGTGGAGCCCACCTCACCCCAGATCCCACCTGGTTTGGGTTTTGTTGACCAATCATTGACTAGAGCCTCGTCTTAGTTTCAGGTGTACAACATAATGACCTGATGTGTGTAGGTATTACAAAGCGGGGGCCACGAGAAGTTTAGTGAGTGGCCAGCACACCGCGTAGTTACAAAACCCACTTGGATTTGAACAGCCTTCTGGGTCCAGAACGTTCTTTGACCTCTTTGGCAAGGACTGAAGGTAACGTTTGAACTTCAGGTCTGTCAGGAATGGACAGCTACATTCGCTTCCCAGATGGCCCATATGGCCGCTGTCCCTGGGATTGTGACTTCCTCTCACAAGACAAAGGGAGTCTCCGAGAGATGGCTTGTCAGGACATACAGAACAAGCATCAGGAAGAATGTAGTGGAGCAAACAGGGCCCTACAGACCTACAAACCAACTGTTGCGTGGAAGGTGGGAACCACCATCCAAACTCAAGGCTCATGGTCAAGCCAGTCTCCCTCTGACGCCAGCAAGTCTCCCAAATTAACCGTATTAAATTAGGATTAAACTGATATTTTATAAGTAGTCACTGCCGGCTTGCTACGTGACCAGCATCATGCAAAGCCTTGGGGGGCCCAACGACTCCCCTGTTCTCGAGCCTTTAATAGGATCATTAAAAATCCGGACCCAGGAAACAGAGCAATTGAATGTTATGTTTGGTGGAGTAAACGGGTAAAATTGGACTTCTGAGATTGGTGTGAGCGGGAGGGGGGGGAAATTCAGGAAGGAGAGGTGGAGTGTGGCGAGCTGGAGGGCAAGAAGGGCAACAGGCCAGTCTATCTCGGGCACGGTGGGAGAGCTGTCGGGAGGGGACGAGTGGAGCCCCTGGAAGGCCGGGCATGATGGGAGGTGTCCTGAGAGCATAATAACACAGTGTGCCATTGTATCCTTGGGACCTGATAGACCCAGGGTGAGGAGGGGACGCCCCTAGCCTGGAGCAGTGAGGCAAGTATGAGGGACACTGGAAGGACAAAGGATAAGCCTTAGGGATGGCAGGAATGGGGAAGCCACTGGCAGGAGGGGGCACAGGAAGACATGGGTCGAATTTCAAGCAGACAGACCATCCAAGGAGATGTTAGGGTGTTAGCTGGGAACAATGGGCTTGGTGCTGTGGAACTGGCTGGAGGGACAAAGAGAGAGGAGTTAAGGGATTACTGGTTGGAAAGTCAGGCCTGGAGGACGGGGGAAGGTAGTAGATGAGGAGGTAGAGGGAGGTTTGGGAAAGACCCACTCCACCTTGGTAGTTGAAGCAGTGAGTAGAGAGGGGCTTGAGGTTGGCCTGGCGGGGTTGGAGGAAGAAGAAGTAGACGAGACCCGGAGCCCATGGAAGGTGGAGTTCACTCAGAGAAGGAGTGTGCCTGAGCTCGAGCTGAAAAGTGTGGCAGGTTCCTCCAGGGTCTTTGTTTTATGATCCAGGAAGCTTCAGGGTGTTTAACAGCAGAAGGGAGGAGAAAGCAACGAGGAAGGTGCTGGAGGGTTTGCCATCCTTCTAAGACTGAGCCCCCTGTGAGGGACGAGCTACTGCCGCGGCTGTGGAGGCAAGGACAGTTGTGGAGGCAGTGAGGCTTCAGTGGTCACATTAATGTCACCGACACAGGGATATGATGGTGTGGAGTGGCGTGGGAGGGAGCAGTAGTTTGGGGGGACAGGGAGAGGGGAATGGAGGGATTGCCAGGCAGCCCCAAAGGTCCGGTTGAAGTGCACATAGCTTACCAGCTCTGCGACCTTGAGCAAATCACATAAACTCGCTGTGCCTCAGTCGTCTCATCTGTAAGATGGGGACAATAAAGCCTGCTGGATGAGGTGGTGAGGACTGAATCAGATGAGGCGTGGAGAAGTACTCGGAGCGTGAACTGTGATTAGTGCCGACCCAGATGGGGACGAGTGCCAGGAGAAAGGGGAATGAGAGCCGTCTGGGAGTGGCTGGTTGGGGAGAGGGCTTTGCCTTTAGCTGGGAAGGCCTTTCTAGGAGAAGAGGATGGCAGGTGAGGCGGCCATCTGAAGGAAGAGCAGCACATGGAAAGGCCCGAGGTAGGGAGGTGAGCGGCCAGTGTGGCTGGAGGAGAGAGGGTGGGAGACGGGCCTGGAGAAGGGTCCAGGGTCAGCCCGGGTGGGGCCTGCTGGGACAGGACAGGAGGCATATGTTTCCCCGGTAGCAGTGGGACGCATTGGAGGGTTGGACTGAGGAAGTGATTTGCTCAGACGTGGGGTTCTAGGAAGATCTCTGTGACACTGTCCAAGGAGCAGCCTGCAGGAGTGTGAGGGAGGGGACGTCCCCCACGACAACATCCACAGACCAGGTGAGCACAAGGGCAGAGAGCACAAAAGTGCTTGCTCCTGTCTTCCCCATCTGTCCAGACCCTTCCTGGTGCCATGACCTTACCTAGGCACAGGGAAGGCAATAAAGACTGTTTCTCTGTCCAAGAAGAGCAAAGGGTAAGATTGCACCCCGATGCTTGCCCCACAAAAAGGCATGGGATAAAGACTCTGGGCACAAGGGCTCCGGGTCACCCCCTGTTCCTTGTGCCCCCCACCCCCACCCGGGAGGAAGCCCCGTGCTTGGCTTAGGCTCTGTGGGCTCTCTGGGACCCTGCTGTCGACTGGCGCTCTGAGGCAACCCCTCAGCTCCCTTGGCGGGCTCCGGGCTTACTTTGGGTCTGCTCGGGTGGCTTGGATCCTGCCTCTCCTCCCAAGTCTTGGTTCCCATGGCAGGCTGGGTTTCAAGAGGGGGCGCTTGTGCTCTCTAGTCCATAGAAAGAAGAGTCGGTGGGGGGGGGGGGTCCTGCCCACTCCACACCCCCTCCCAAACCCTAATGCCGACAGTTGTGTCATTCGGGATACCGTGAGATGGCAGCTGAGCTCCTGTGCTCTGGGCCCACTCACGTGCTCCTTGAACTATGAAGGGGTCTGCTCAGGTCGAGACATGTCTTCACACACTCCAGGAGGGGCTAGGGAGGGACTCACGGTCATGGGGGGGCGGGGTCTCCATGCATGGACGTGCTCTGAAACGGCATGGGGTGCGCAGAAGGCATGGCCTCGGCCCATCTGGGGGTACCCGCACAGGGACTGTCTGCCGCAGGGGAGCACACAGTCCAGCTGGGGGAACGTGAGAAAGCACACAGCATTCTGGAACGACACTCCAGCCAGGACCCCTGGCAAGGAGACCTGGTCGGCTTCGGGAACATATCGGTGGGAAAGGTTGCTGTGCGGGGCCTGTGCGGGCCTGTGAAGGTGTTCTTGGAACAGGTGTTTGCAATGTAGCCACGGCCTCCGTTCCCTGATGGGTAGCAGAGTCCCGTTTCCTCATCCGAGGCTCATTGATGGGGACTCAACTTCCAGGGCCAATCCCTGGCCTTCTCTCCACCCCCATCAGGCAGTCACCAGCCATCTGGTTTGCAAGAATGCCATGCCCCATCCTTAGGAAACTTCCCCTTCCCAGAGGACCTGTTCAGCCTTCTGCTGCTTATTCTGCTCCCTATATCCCTTTCCTGTGCCTCTTTTCGGACCTCTGGACCTTGGCTCTTTAATTATTTTCTCTCCGTCCCTGTAGCAGGGTGGTTCGGGCCAGAGGGCTGCTAGGTAGTAGCTTAAGGCTCGAGGAGGAACATCGACATGCAACAGCCATTCTTCCCCCACGTTTCCCTGCTCATCTCCACCCACGGGAAAGCACTCACGTCTTTGCTCCTGCCCTCCCCAGCTTACACCAACAACCAAGCAGACATCGCCACCCAGGGCTGGTTCATTGGGCTCATGTGTGCCATCGCCCTCCTGGTGCTGATCTTGCTCATCGTCTGTTTCATCAAGAGGAGTCGGGGCGGCAAGTACCCAGGTAGGATGTACCAGAGGAACGGGCTTGGGGACATGGGGCCAGCATTCCCAGGAGCTCCCAGGTCCCCGGCCATATCCAGGGGGCTCAGGTTCTCCCGGCAAGCCTAACCCTTGCCAAGCTTGGACAGACAGTCCTCTCCCCTGGTCTGTGCACCTCAGAGCTGCCAGAAAGCACTTGAGTTAATCAAGTTCGCCTGAGGTGGGTGGATGGAATGGTCCAGGCAGCTCCAGAGAGGGGACGGAAGGAACCGTGACTCCCATTAAGAATGACCTTCCCTCCCCTTGACTCACCAGCTGTCTGCTCAGTAAATTGGCTTTTTTCAGCCTGAATCTCATTAGGATCCCATGTCCCAAGGAAGGAAGAAGGAAGAAAGGCATTTCCTCTAACCATGAGAAGGAGAGAACAGAGAAGGGAGGGTCTGGATGGAAGCAGCACGCTCATGAGAGAGGCTCTTGGGGACTGGGCTGTAATGACAGACCCCTGGCAGAGGGTCAGGAGCTCCTGCTCGAAGAGCCCCCAGAGACTCAGGGGTGGCCTGCATTGGTACAGACCCCATCAGTAAAGAGCTCTGGGCTTCCCTAGCATCCCAAAGAGCCATTGCTCTTCTGGGTGCCTCAAGATCCACCAGCCCAGACAAACCAAGGTCAAGGACAAGGACCTCTGGCATTCCTGCTTCTGGAAATATTGTTTTTTCAAATAGGGGCAACAAAACTATCTGTCTGGGACACGGTGGGTAGAAGACAGGAGACAGGATAATGGATGACCCAGTGAGCAAAAATCCTGCCAGACTGCATAATGAAATTTCTCCCTCCCCCCCAAAAGCCCCATTGCCAAGCACAGGCCATGCTTGCCTCTCCCTCCCTCTAAATGAGTCCTCCTCCAGGGTCCCCCTAAAACTCAACTCAGAGAGAAGATTCTCTTTTATTTCCTTCCCCTGTCCGCGTACCCTCAGACCCTAGGATTCTAAAGGGTTTTGCCTGTGATTTAAGTGAGGCAGGTGTCTGTGAGGGAGGGCAGGAAATTATAATTCTTTATTGGCAAATACTGTTTCCTTTCACCTTATTGTGCTGTGTTGGGATTGTTTTTCTCCTGAAAAAGTGAAAGCCAGAGTCAGGGAGAAGAGTAGCCTTACTGAGCTCACCCCCCAACTCATCAGATCAACTTTGAGGCTTCCTTTGCCTATTAGACAGTGTTGCTTTCCAGAAAGTTCTTCTCACAGCTTACCTCCTTCCCTCCAGCTGCAAGGTAAGGCCCTAGTCCACTAGAAAAATGAGCAAACCATGAGGCCCGGGCTCCAGCCTTCGTGCTAGACTTCATGGTAGACTCTGTGCTGGGTGCCAAGGACCCTGAAAAGAAAGGTGATCTCTCCCTCAAGACACAGCAGGGGCCTGGCAGGAAGATCACAGCCCAGCAAGACAGGGCGTGGGATGGGTGTGTGCAAACCACAGAGGAAGCGTGGGAGAAGAGGGTCCCACACACTAGTGAGGTCACAGCCGGGAGAGCATTTTCCATCCCAGAGGTGCCTACGGAAAATCTCCTCGGCCCAGGGGTGCCTGTTGGGGGCTTTTACAAACTGAGCACAAATACTTATCCTACAGAACAGAATAAGAGAGGGGCCAAAGAAAAAAATCACATCCATTTGGTGGTGCTCGGGGGCAACCCCGTGGAGAGGTGGGGGTCAGGGGAGGGACAGGCTGGAGGAGGTTTCAGTTGTCAACAGAGAAACCCTGGGGATGAGGAGGAGGTGGGGCGTCAACCTGACAGCTGGTTAAATGCAGGAATCCAGAACAAGGGAGGCACTGATGGTGCCTTGTTGAGAGAGAGAGTGTCACCGACTCTACAGTTGGGGTCCCGGGGAACAGGGGCATTATCACCATGTCTGTATCTTTGCTTCTCTTATCGGCCAAGTGCGAGAGAAGAAGGATGTTCCCCTGGGCCCCGAAGACCCCAAGGAAGAGGACGGCTCCTTTGACTACAGGTGGGTGACCTGTTTGGCTCCTGGTTCCCAACCCCCACCCATCCGGCTGTAAGTTCTGCCTCCCTGACAGCCCCTGCTTGTAATGAGGGGGCTGGACGAGGCTGCCTCCCCGCAGGGGGGACTCTGCCTGGCACAGTCTCATGGATTTGAGGGACACTGTTCCATTCACTCAACTACAGCTCCAAGCTGTCGAGATCCTCAGACGGGTGCTTTCAGCCACCTCTTTCCTCTGAAAGCAGACGCTGGGAAGGCCATGGTCATGAAATGAGCTGTCAGTTTCCTCTCTGCCCACCGCCCCCTCCCTCCCACACCCCGAAGACAGGGACCCAGGGAAGCTGTATTTTCTTGAAACCTCAACTCAGTGAGGAATTGGGGAGGCGGTTCTAGACCTTTTCCTCATGAACTTGAATGAAATCTCCGGGCCCTAGCCAAGAACAGCCCTTGGAGAGGCATCTAGTCGTGGCCTGTCCCAAATCAGAGCACTGAGGCCCAGACAGGGATGTGACCTGCCGAGGAATCCCACCCACGCTCGACACCCAGGGAGCTGGTGGCAGAGCTGGAGAAGCCGGGGCCTGACTTCCGGCTGGGCAACATCATGATCCATCCCTCTCAGATCTGGATGGGCCTTTGTGGCTGGCATGATGATGTTGTAATGTCCCATTTTGATGGCAAATGTATCCTGAGTTAAGGAATGATGCAGGGCGGGTCATGGAAGCCTCATTCCCAGACCAAGGCGGGCGGGAGGAAATGCTCTGATCAGAGCCCTGCTTCCCCACCCCCACCCTGTTACTGTCTGGGGCAAGATCACCCTGTCTTCCCTGACCTCTCCTTTTCCGGCCCTTGGCCTCCACCACTCTGCTCACCAGCAGCCCAGCAGGTGAACACTACCCAGAGCCACTGCCTGGCCAGGAGCCCAGCGGAAGACTATGTACCAAATCTATCCACCCAGCCCCCACGTCTCCAAAGGCCTCCTAAAAGGGCGAGTAGCAGAGGCCCCTCCCCTGCCTATCCTCAGCACCCCTGGGAGGGCCCATCTTCCCCAGGGGCTGAGCCCTATTTCTTGACCACCAGTTTCCAAAGGACACAGGGCTTTCCCTCCCCCAGGCCCTCAGTGCAACCCCAGAGAGGGGTGAGGACTTCCTGGGCTCGGAGAAGCCGCTTCCTCAGCCACCTCTCCTCCCTGAGACACCAAAGGTGTCTGCCTTGTCCCCACCCACTCCCCTGTCCCACCCACAGGGAGGCTGGGTAGACACACACAGGAGCCTGCACAGGCCCGCACCCACACACGCGTGCGCACACACACACACACACACACACACACACACACACACACCTGCCTCGGGTTTGGCTTGACGGAGAAACACCTTTCTGCTGGGTCTCTCTGCTTCTCTCTCCCTCATCCGTCCCCCTGTTTCCGGGTCGCTCGGAAGATGGGCTGACAGGTGACTAGACCAGAGACCCCCTAGTCCTTCTGGTTCCTTTCAAGCTTCCCTTAGAAGAAGTCTGCTCTTTCCAGATCTAGATCCTCTTTCTCTGTGAGAACCTGACACACTGAAGACGCTCCCTCCAACCTGGGCCGTTTCTGTCCAGTGGCTGCATTTGGCTTAGGTGCCCGGAGTCCCCTAGGATCACACAGACACAATCCTCTTGCTCCTGGGAGTTGTAAAAAAGACCCAGAAGTAGGAGCAGGACCAGCAAGAAGCTATTGGTTTTCAAAACGTGAGCCCCACTGTCCGCACAGACTCAGTGCAGCCCTGTAGACCCACTGCCTCCCCGTAGCCCCAACACAGGCCCAGGGAACAGGGCACAGGGTGCATGAGGGAGGGGCTGATAGCGTTCCAAGTACCGACGCCGGGCTCGGGCCCGGGCCCCAGGTCCTCCCCTGCCGGCTGTCTCTGCCCAGCGCTGCAGTGAGAGGCTATCACACACTGCCCACTCTAAAGGCAACTCAACTGGTTGTTCCCCCTGCGCACAGACACCCAGGAAGGACTGCGTGTGGCCCCGGGGGCCAGGGAGGGGACATTATGTGTTTGCCCATGCTGCCTGGCACCCCTGAGATGCGGCCATCAGCACCCAGCCCCCCTCGGAGCCTAAAGGGCAGAGCTTTCAGCAGGCTGGGGAAGGGAGGTGGTGCCTGAGCAGATCCCAGTTATGGGAGGCGGGGGAGGGGGGGGTGTCTCACTTTCCTGGGGGCACTGCAGACATCCCAGCAGGTAGACCCCGCTCTGCCCCGCAGCCTGCCAGCTCTCCTTGCGGGGGGCTGGGGGGTGTCTGAAGGGCAGGACCTGGGGGCCTCGGAGGAACCCAGGCAGAATCGACAGAGCTTTTCAGGGCTTTGTCTCCAGTTACTGGCCTCACACGCTCCCGTGTGTGCCCCTCCACTTGTCCCACCCTCTTTCAGCCAAGGCCCCAAGCAACAGCGTCTGCCACTCGGTAGACCAGAGAGCGGACGGAAAGCACAGCATGGTGGGGAAGGGGGAGCCCGGGGAGAGGCTTCTCTCTCCATGGCCCAGACCCATTGCTTTTTGCCAAGGGCAGAGCCTTTCCAGACAGGGGCTACCCAGATCACAGAGAGTCAAAGCAAGTCCCACCCCTCTTGATGGAGAAACTAAGGCCCGGTGAGAAGAAAGGCATTCCCGAGGCCACAGGACCACACAGTGACGCGTGCAGGACCCACACCCCAGCTCTTTGACCCACCCCATCCTGCCTTGTCTCCCAGTAGCTGGCTGTCCTCACCGTGGGGCGGCCGACCCCAGACTGGAGTCAGAAGACTGGGCTCCAGGCCCAGCCTGGCACCACCTTGCCACCTCACCTGGGAGAAGACGCCAGGGAGAAACCTGGTCCTCTCCAGACCTTGGGTTCCTGCCATAATCCAGCCAGGCAGGGGAGGGCTCGGGGGTGGGAAAGGCTGACCGGTGACCTCTGAGGTCCTCCCCTCTCGGAGCTGCGTAGCCCATGTGCTCGGCGAGAGGACAACGGCCCGGTGCTACCCCACCTTGGTTTAAGTGACACTGGGCCAGGCCAGGCTCTGATTCTGTCTCTCTCTGGCCAGTGACGAGGACAACAAGCCCCTGCAGGGCAGCCAGACGTCCCTGGATGGCACCATCAAGCAGCAGGAGAGTGACGACAGCCTGGTGGACTATGGCGAGGGTGGAGAGGGGCAGTTCAACGAGGACGGGTCCTTCATCGGCCAGTACACTGTCAAAAAGGACAAGGAGGAGACAGAGGGCAATGAAAGCTCAGAGGCCACGTCGCCTGTCAACGCCATCTATTCTCTGGCCTAACGGAGCCCCCTCGCCCAGGACACAGCCACTACTTTGCAAGTGGGAGGAGGGGAGAGGGGGAGATGAAGCCACCGCAGACCTACCACACAGCCACCACCTCCTTCAGGGACAAGGGTACAACAAGGGGGTCTGCCAAGCTGTGAGGACCAGTGACGGCCCAGCCAACCCCAAGCCCCCTCCCAATGACCGCCCCTGCACCCCCGGGGTGCCACCGTGTGGAGGAGTCCTGGCTAAGCTCAGCCTCACGGCCACCTGGAGCCTCCCCCACCCCCGGCCCGCCCTTGCCCTCCGCACGCGCACTCACCGGTTTCTGTTGGTCACAGCCCTTCGCGTTATCCTTATTTTTCTTTTGTGCATCTTCCCCGTCCAGACCCAGCGTCTCCGTTTTCTTTTCCTTTCGAAGAAATGTCCCTGGACAAAGAAAGAATGGGTGGATTCTCCCCCAGATGGGCAAAAGGATTGACCTGTAAAAGATGTTGTAGAAAAGCTGTCGTATTCACACCGCCCCCGGGCCAACGTATTTCCGAAGGATGCCTTTCTCGCCAGATGCCTCCCCGGGCCCCCAACCCATGCGCCTTGGCCTTGTCAGTTGCTGAGCTGGGCTTGGCTGCTTTCTGGAAAATGACAGTATTTTTGGCAGGGAGAGAGTGGGCAGGCCTCCTTGCCCCGCTCTGGTTCAGTCGGGAGGTGGGCTTACCTCTTGCTCCTGGCTCTCACCCTGCCCCTTCCCCCAGCGTGTCCCAGACAAGAGCTGCGCCAGCTCTGAAGGAGTCTGAGGAACGGGAGCGGCCACAGATGGGAAGAGCTTCGAAGCCAGTGGCCGAGTACCTCAAGCAGTGGGAAACTGGACGTCTGGTCCCTGGGGAGCTGTGCTCACCTCAGGAGAGAAGGAAAGGGCTGGGTTTGGACTTCCTTCCTCCCCATCGGTGAAATCCGGGATGTGGGAGAGAGGACTGTGCCCCCTGCCTCGAGGGATGAGGGCACCCCCCGACCAGGTCAGGGATCCCCGCTGCGACCCTCCTGGGGATGGAACCAGGCGATGCAGAAGCTTTGCTGATGTGTTTGGGGGTACAAGGTGCTGCTCCCCCTCTCGCCTCTAGCAAGTAGCATCTCCTCCGTCAATTCTGTAAGACATCGAAAGTGGTGTTTCACACCGTGCCGCCCCCCGAGACCGAACCAGTGTGTCCTGTCCTCGGGGTATTTACATATCAGGAGAGTGCGCGGGAACACCACGCTGACCGCACTGGAGAACCTGGCCTGGGGACCCCGTGCCCTCCGGATGCCTTACGCAGCTCTGATGTGGCCCTGCAGCTCCCAGGTCCCCAGCCCCTGCCCGTAAACCTCGAAGCCTCCAGCGATGTCTCTCAAGAATGGGGCGGCCCCAGCAAACATCACCACAGACCCAGAGCAGCCGCTCGCCGCGCGCCCTGCACCCCGTTGCCCAGCCCGAGACCCACACAGCCTGCAGTGCTCAGAGACCCAAGGCGCGGCCTTCAGCCTCCCCACCTAATCCGTTTCTGAAACCAAAGGTACCTAGCCTCAGAGAGCTTGAGCCTGAGAGCAACCTGGTAGCGGTCGCTGCAGCTAGAGCTGGTTTCGGGAGGGGGAAGCTGACCCCCCATCTGGACTGCCTGCCACGGGCACAGCCTCTGGTCCGAGCCTCCAGCTGCTCGCCGGCAGCCTGGGCAGCAACGGAGCTGTATCCTTCAGAGGCTCGATCAAAGCATCGTTTGCCACACGTTTACACCACAAAGGTATTAGCAATGTTTGCATCCCTTCCTAATCAGTCAGCTGAAGGTCAGGCACATAGACACACGTATTCTGTCTGCAGGTAAGAAACCATAGCCCAGAGCTGAGCCAGTTGTGCTGTTTGAACCTGAGAGCAGGTGCCTGGCCTTTGGCCCCAGCCGTGGCCAGCCTTTGCAGCCCAGAAGCCCCAGGGGCAGCTCCCTCGTGCTGAAAGGGGACAGGGTGAATCACGGGGGGCTAGGAGTGAGCTTAGGGGCCCCCTCCTCTGGCTTTCCTCTACAGCTGGGCAGTCCTGCACCCAAGCCCAGCCTCTCTCTAGGGAATGTCAGGGAAGTGTGCCTATAAACTGAATTAAAGGACCAGACTTTCCAGAATATGCTCTGAATCTGAGCAGAGTAGACAGTGTTTTGGGCCCCCCCCTCCATGTGACACCCCCACACCAGTGAGCTCAGTGCACCACAGGCCGGCTCAGTGGGTAAGGGGACCATGCACTGTCACGGTGCCCATCCCCCCGGCCGTGCAGCTGAGGACCGCAGAAGGCCTCCTGCCGCCAGGGGTCTGGGGGAAAGATGATTGCTCAGCCTGTCTGCTCTTCGTGTGTGTCGTGCCCGCTCTGCACCAGCTCCCTCTGTGTTGGAAGGCCGTGCGGGCAGCCCCATGGAGAGACGCCGCCCGCACCGCCACACCACCCAGCCCTCCTGGCAGGCAGGAGCTAACCTGAGCCCGGAGAAGCCGTCTCCCCTGAGCAGAGATGCTTAGAGAGGTGTGTGTAGGGCAGGGTTAGGGAGCAGCCCTTCCAGGAAGAGATTGTCCATTTCCCGTGAGCCCATGCCAGAGCCCAGCCCGCTCAGCCGGAAAGCAGTATTGTCCCGCATGCCCTGCCCACTGGGGCTCTCAAGCAACCGCCCAAAAACATACCAACCATGGGGCCAGGAGACGGTGACACTATCGGTGCTTCTGCCTGCCTGGCTGTAGGGGGTGGGGGAGTCTCTCAGTGATCCCAGAAGCCCTGTTGCCTGTGCAGCGGTCCCACCTGCCTGTGCCGAGCCACCAAAGCTGTGGGCTCAGGAAACAGCCTTGAACTTCTAGTCTGAGCCATAGTCACATGCGAGCCCTGCCCTCCCGGGCCTGGAGCTGAGATGCAGGACACAGTGGGCATTGGTTGGGGGCACCTTGAGTTCTCAAGCCTCCGGTTGCTCCAGGGTCCAAGGGAGAAGCTCCGGCAAGAGCATGTAGTCCACGAGGCTGAGGAAGATTGGGGGGAGGGGCGGTCAGAGCCTGTGGGGTGGGGTCGAGGACCAGTCCTGCCTCCTGAGTCTCTTTGCTCTGCCCCTTGGGGCAAGTTGCTTGACTTGTCTGTATGTTGGTGCCTCCAGTTCCCCTGTGTCATCCCTCCTTTGAATACCTGTGCCCACGGAGGGACAGGAACCCAGCTGAAGGAGCAGGAAGGCCAGCGACTAAGGGGTACAGCGCTGCAGGGCCAGGGACAGCTGCCTCCCACCCTGCCTGGCTTTTGTGAAGGGGACCCATCTTGCCTTATCTTAGTTTTGAGGAGATAGTTGAGGCTCGGCTAAAGGGAAAACCAGACCAGCTCTTTCCCTTGTCCATTGTCTTTGCCCTGGGGTGGGGGCATCTGGTCTATCCCTTCCTGGCAAGTCCCAAGGTCTGGAGGAGGGTCCACCTGTCCCAGAAGCAGCCAGTGCCAACACTGCACACCCTGGCCGGGGGGTCTCTGCAACCTGGGCCAGATACGGCTTTCATGGCTTCCCCGGACACAGCCTGAGGAAAGGGCTGTGGACAGGTGTGGGTTTTCCCCCTGCCCACACCCAGCACCCGTGCATGGGCACAGCCACACAGTAGGGCTGCGCTTGCAGGGGGAACAGTACAGATTATGACATTGTCTTAGGGTGGGTTCACACCCTGGCCCACTTGAGAGGTTGGACCCCTCTTGAAGGATTCCTGCAGACAGAACCGAGAGAGTCTGATCCGAAGGAGAGGGAAGCTTCTCTGGGAGAACCCGGGGCAGAGGATCTTTAAGGGTCCTGGGGCCCTTTGCAGGATCCAAGCCAAGCCACAGAGAGTCCCAAACAGCCCATGGGACAGAAGCAGCGGGGATTGAACACACTTTGCCTCAGTCTTAGCAAGGCTGCTTCACCAATACTGAGGAGGGGAGGCTCCCCCGGCTCTCAGGGAGAGGGCAGCCGGTTCCTTGGGTGCGGGCACAGGCGTGCTCCCCATTCGTGACACCTGGGTCAGCACTCCAGCAGCCCCTGCCGCTAGGAAGAAATCACCCAGTGGATCTTGGCTGAGCTTCACGCAGTGGCTTAGAAGTAGCATGTAGGAGTTCCCTGATTGAAAAAAAAAAAAAAAAAAAAAAATTGGAGGAGACACATGAATGAAACAGAAAGCTTGAAATGCCCGGAGGAGACCGGGCTCTAGGCAGAACCCAGCTCCTGGCAGCCCATCCCCTAAACCAGGCAGGGGCAGCCCATGGGAAGTCAAACCAACCTTGCTGCTCTCACCAGCCCGCTCCGCCCAAGCCCGGGCAGCGCCCTTCCTTCCCTCCCCTGTTGAGAACAGTCTTCCCGAGATAGGTTCAGAGAAGGATCAGAGGGACAGGACCACCACCCAGGGAAGCCACGAGTCTCCACCGAGCAGTGTCCCACGCCACACCCCCAACCAGTGCACCTCCATCGACACAGTAGTATTAAACAGAAGTTCTCTGACGCTAAGGGTAGAAACAAGCTCAGTCCCAGAGCGCGTTGCTTTGGAGAGCTTCAAACCTCAGCACGCGGGGGAATCACAGAGCTGATCTCATGGACAGGACTCTTCGGACAGACGAGGACACTAAAATCCATGGAGGGGAAGGGACTGGCCCGAGGTCACTCGGCTGGCAAATCAGGGTGAGGGAGAGCCTGAACCCGGGCCTTCGGAGTCCTTGTCTAGGTGCCTCCTTGGAAATAGAGCTGTCACTTCACATCTGTCTGTACCTCATATCACTTCTCCCCATGCCCCGTACGCCTCCCAAAATGAAAGACACGAAGGATTTTTCTGAGATTGAGACCAGTCTGTCTGTGACAGCCCGCGGGGAAGCCAGCGGTGCAGGGCAGACCCCGGCCAGGAGAGTGACGAGCCACTGGTCTGTCACTGTGAAGTCTGGACTGTAGTCTGGAGTGGCGTCTCTTGTTCTGTGACACTTGGGGCCCCCAGCAGGCTGCGTCCCTTGGGCCCTCGGCCGTGGGGTGCTGAGGGGCGGCCGGGCCACAGAGGCTCTGCCACTCTGGGGTTCACTGGGCTGGAGTTCAGCACACAGAAAGAGTTCAGTGAAGCAATAAACACAAAAATCTGGGAGAAGAAATCCAGAATTTTGTGCCCTACTCTGTTTCTTTTTCAAAAACGATGCCGATCAGTTGACCCTGCCCCTGTTGTTGTTGGTTTTTTGGTTTTTTTTCTTGATCCCCCCAGTTGGACATCCTCAGTCAGTGTTGTCCCTCTGCCCGGCTCCCAGCTCTTTGCCAACCTCACACTCCTCCTGGGCTGAGCATCAGTCGCCTGTGACGTGGTCACCTTCTGTCCCGGTCCCACCCCCAGCCCACGCTGGCCCCAGAGGACCTCTCGCCCTGCCTCCCCCCTCCCCCGGCACCCGCTTCCCCCCAACACCGTGCCGCATTGTTCCTTCCAGGGGGGAGATTTTTTCCCTGACATCCCCATGCCCTCCCGCACACCTGCAGAGTGGTCTGATCTTTTTTCCATTGGTTAAAAATTTAACTCCATGGCAGACCTTGTTTTAACCCCTCTCACATCACGTTCTTTCCTCTCTGAGAGTTCTTTTGCATTAACCAACGTTGTCAGCGACAGACGCGGATCTGAGGGTGTCACGTGCGACCTTCAGCAGGGAAGACTTCCGGGCCGCAGAGGACCATCTAATATGTGGACTTATAAACTGACTGCATGAGCAATGAAAAGGCCAAATTATTCAGAATTCTTTTTTTTTTTTTTGAATCACTGTAAAAAAAAAAAACAAACAACAAACAACAACTGATTTCTTTTGTATAGAGAACACTAAACGTATAATAAAAGTTGTTCAAAATGGACTCTGGCCAGGTGATTTGTTCATTTTCTTTAGTTCATGGAAAGGGGTACAGGGTTGTCGGGATCGACAACAGAGAGAATCAAAAAGGATTTCTCGGGGACTCCAGACAGCCCGCACTTCGAGGATTCTGCAAGACCAGCCCCCTTTTTTTTTTTAACAGATTTTTATTTATTTATTTGACAGATCACAAGTAGGCGGAGCGGCAGGCAGAGCAGCAGACAGAGAGGAGGAAGCAGGCTCCCCGCTGAGCAGAGAGCCTGATGCGGGACTTGATCCCAGGACCCTGAGATTATGACCTGGGCCAGAGGCAGAGGCTTAACCCACTGAGCCATCCAGGCATCCAAGCAGTCCCCTCTTGAAGTTGGTCTTATCCTGGGGGCCTCACAGACACAATCTGTGTTTTGACTGTACAGCGACAGACACGTGCGCAGCCGCGGAGAGAGTCCAATTCAGCTGACCTGTATGTGTGCCTGTGCGCCACTGAGGACGTGCCATGATGGGGATGCTGGGAGGAGGGGAGACGTGTGCGATGAAGCTCTGTGTCCTGCCCTCCCGCCTTCAGCACCCCTGCCCTGAGGTGGGAGAATGCCAGCACAGTTCATATTATTGAAGGAATGAATAATACAGCTTACAACAAACCCAGAACCTGTCTCAGTTGACTCAAAGGAATCTCAACCAACAAGCAAATAGGGGAGGGAAATAGGAAATAGGGAAAAGGAATAGGAAATAGGAAATAGGGAAAGAGGCAGAGAAGGCTGTGTTGGTGGAGGGGGACCGAGCACAGTTACGCCTCCTTTCTTGATTCTCCGGCCCGGAGTTGGGCTAATTCCCACTAAGGAGCGCCCCTTCGGCTGTCATCCCAGGCAGAATGAATGGCGAGGGACCGTCAAACGTTGTAACCCCCCACCCTGTCCTCAGACAGTGGGCAGGGCTGGGAGGCGGTTCCACTCGGGGAGAAACAACTGCTTTAGTTCCGTTAGGCAGGAACGGGAAATAAGGGCAAAGAGTTGCCCTGAAAATACAGGCCCTGCTTTCCTGGGTCAGGGAGTACCAGGTAACAATCTAACGTGCCTGTGTTTCCTCTCCGTTCAAAAGTCGTTCAAAAGTCCTTCAAAAGTCCTCAGAAAGGGGCGCCTGGGTGTCTCAGTGGGTTAAAGCCTCTGCCTTCGGCTCAGGTCATGATCCCAGGGTCCTGGGATCGAGCCCTGCATCTGGGCTCTCTGCTCAACGGGGAGTCTGCTCCCGCCCCCCCGGCCTACTTGTGATCTCTCTCTGTCAAATAAATAAATAATATCTTTTTTTAAAAAAAGTCCTCAGAAAAGAGCGGGACATAAGGCCTTATTTCTGGGCGTGGCTCCTCCTGAATTTGGGGGCATCTCGTAGTCTCTGCCACGTCTGAACCTCCCTGTTCGCTCCTTGCGATACGTGAAAGATCTTTTCCTCATCCTCAAGTTCACAAGCTGTCTGTGAAGTCTGCCCTTCATGTCCATGGGCACCACCCCACCAGCAGCCCAAGCCCTCATTCTGAATTGACAGTGTCCTTGCCTCTCCTGCCACCTACTACCTCCTCGAAACTGCGGCTGGAAGGATCTTCTAACACACAAATGTGATCCTGTCCCTTCTCAAGACCTTCAAGTTCACTACAGTACCTTCAGTCAGCTACAGTAGGATAAAATCTTAACCCCTTGGCTTGGCATGTTAGACCTTTTGTGATTCGACCCCTCCTTCAGCAGCCTTGTTTTTCACTTCACGTACACCCTAAATTCTAGCCATTCCGATCTCTGTCCTGTGCCCCCTGACATGCAATGATTTCTCACGCTTCTTATCTTTGGCGATTCAGTTCTACTCAGAATACCTATTAACTACTCTGTGCTAATCAATGCTGTAAGGTAGCTAGCATAGAGCTCCAGTCCTCAGGAAGCTCAGAATGTCATGAGAAACAGGTAAGCAAAAGCAATGCTGGAGGGACACCTGCCTGGCTCAGTCTGTAGAGCCTATGAGTCTTAATCTCAGGGTCATGAGTTCGAGCCCCATGTTGGGACTAGTTTACTTTAAAAAAAGAATCAATGTTATAGTATCCAGGACAAAGGGCTCAATAAATGTGGTTCAGCAAATGAATGAAGGCCCAAAGGTGTGTCTGCTTGGCACACCCTCCTCCTGCCCTTTCATATGCCCCTTCTAGATAATTCGTAATCACTGGAGTTGATGTCCAAAACCAGCCCTGATTCCCAGCAACACCTGATTCCAGGCTCTTTCCTCTCTCCCATTCCAAACCCCTCCAATATCTTTCTCCTTATAGATCATCTCTCCTAGACTCCTTGGCAGCAAACAGCGGCCTGGAGCTGGGTCACAGAGGGCTGATCTTTAACAATCAGCTCAGGTGAAGTCTTCCCCACTACCTGACATAGGCTGTGTAAGTACGTGTGTGTTCTGCACACACACGTGTACGCACGCGCGCACACACACATACGGCTGCATGGTCTGATTCGGATGCCCTCACTCTGCCCCCAGAACAGCTATGATTTTTTGTCTTTCCCAGAGAGTCCCCATCATATATTGCCTATTTCTTTCACAAAATTGTGAACATCTTGAGTATGAGAAATTTTTGTCCCCTGTGGGTCCACGGCCCAGTGGCCCGCACACAGCACCCACAAAATGAATGAAAACGAATGAATGGGTGACCAGGCATTCCTTTGATGTGGTGGCTGGGTGAATTCAAGACTTCTGTGTCATCCTCTTTGGATACTGACTATTTGGATATTGGACTTGGATGTGACTTTCGGGGGGCCGTGGGCAGTCCACTGGCCCACTTTTGGAGCAGGAGGCCCCCCCCAACACACACACGCAAAGGGACAGAAATGGAGGGATGAAGAAAGCATCTTATTTGAAGAAAGCCAACCTCCATTCAACTGAGGCCAAACAAAGCGGCTGCCTCCCTTCTGGGCCCAAGGGATTCCCAGAATATGTCATCCCTCATCCCTGTCTCCTGAAGGCTGTGCCTCCCAGCCCATTAGAAATGCTAATCTCCAGCATGGGTTGGATTAACTGACCCAGTGGGAGGTGACAAGTCATCTTCCAATCTTCATTAAGAGTGAAGGCTCTACCCCATCTTGCCCAGCTGCCCCCAAAGAGATGGGATCTGGGAATTCATTACAGCCCCTTTCATCAAGGCAGCCACTACTGCTCAAAACCGTATTAGGTGGCGGAAGATAGGGGAGGGCCACTTTAGCCTCCCCTCCCCACTTAATGCATCAGAGCCCATTTGTTTGATGTC